TCGAGAACACCCTCGGTCGAGCAAGTAGAATAGATGTGGTGGTGGTGGTGTCAAATGTGCTGCTCACTTTTGCACCTAAACAACTACCACTGAGAAAGGTACACCTCTCGGCCTAGGGCTCTAGAAACTAAAGACAATGTTGCTTAATACACTGCGAAGTTTATGATCTTTTGCACCAAGTTCGACAGCTTCAATTATATTCATGACAATCTAAATGCCCCGAATCAGTATTGTATCGGTAAAGATAAGCAAAGGAGATGAATGACTTTATGGTGAAAGTGGTTTAGCCGTCTAAATGCCGAATTATGAAGTGCATCTGGGAGTAGCCAATCATAGAACATCTCAATTCAATTGGGAACTAATGAAGTGACCTCTTTAAGTGAAAGAATTGAAAAGTCTTTGCCAATCGAGACTTGGATAGATAACCAACCAACCAGAAGCAGTGACGTTTTGCTCATAATCGTCTGATTATACAGCTCCAGCGCTGTTAATTCAACTGAAGATGTCGCTGATTGTCAACACAGTGTTATTTATCCAACTGAAGATGTGTTGACATGAGGGTTAGGATAATTAGGATTTTTCTTAGGGCTGTGAGAATGATTTGGCATAGAGCGAGGTTTTTCATGTTTAATGTTTTGAGTTGTTGAGTTGAAGGGGACTTCTCATGTTGCAAAACCACTTCTATTTACAATTTAGATTCAATGATAATCAGATTTAACGAGGTAGAGTCTTGATAGGGCTATGCCTACTCGACACTCACCTGGATATCCTCTGACTTTATCTTATTAATCCCATTTTTAGCCGAAACTCAATCTCTATTTAGTCTCGTCTTCTTCAACTTGAAGTAGGACTTTGAACCTAATCTCTTTATTCACTTAGTTCATTCTTCCCTGACCAAACATAGGTTCTTATCCTTAGAATAATTCAAATCTTATACAAACCCATCCTGATCTTTAACAATCATTACTCAACTAGGACTCGACTGAGCCATGCCTGAGCATGACCATTCAATAATTCTAATTTCATTTTGGACTCGGTTTAATTCACTTTTATAGGTTGAGCGCCAACTGGCCTGAGAAATTAACCTTGGGCTTAAAGTCAAGGCTTTCTAATTCAACATATCATTTTCTCAACCAAAAACCTGTATTTCAAACCCAAACAGATACATAATTTGAAGGAAGAAAAAAAAAAGAAAATCAACAGTTTGGACTTGAGCAAAATATGTATCAAACCTTTAATCCTTCAAGCCTTACTCCAACAAAACTGTCTAAAAAAGAATATGATTTTTTTTTTTTTTTGGTTACAAGGACGCAAAGCAAAAAACAAAAGAAACTAGAAAATAATCTGATGCAAGTCAATTCACTAGTGCATTTATTGAATCATTAGGATAAAATGAATGACTATAACAAATTAGAAGAACTTAACAACAGCCATTAGTAGCTCCTAATAATAGTCAGGGCGTTTTGGACATTTTTTGTGGATTACTTTCTTTATGTAATTTTAGTTTTTTGTCATTTTAAGTTTATTGCCTTTCTAATTTCTGAATGTACGTTACAAAATGGTTATAAAAACCATTTCTTTCTGTAAGATGAAGGAGTTGGACGTTTTTGTTGGTGAATGAAATATTCAGAGAGATTTCTATCTCATATTTGTGTCTTTCTCTTGTTTAAGAGTCTGTTGCTTTGTTCTTTCTAGTGTCTACGTTATAGGTTGGTACTAGAACCAAAGTTTATAGGTTTTCAGGTCTCTCATCGCACTAGGAGATAGTGCACCCTGCCTATCAATCCTATCTATCATTTTATTTTGTTTCTATCCGCTGCACCCTGCATCAGTTAGTATAAGAGCGTAAACTCAATCCAAGGGTAACCCTATATTCAGCATGTCATAGATGCCATTAGATGAAGATCTAAATCTGGACCTTCCTCCAATATTTGATCATTGCTTGGATAGTTCATATCCAACATGTTGTGAAAATTCTTCAGGTGATTGTCTCTTAAATCTTGATCTTTCTTCGGAGTTTGATCATTCTCCACATGGTACTTATCACATTTGATGTCAAAGTTCTTGTGTGGTTTAACAAAATGTTGATATGGAATCTTGTCTGATTATTAAAAATTCTGATTACAAAGAATTTTTGTTTCATGATTTCATTGGAAACTTCTGGATATGTTGATTTAATTGGGGTCGATGTCTTCTACTTCAGAATTTTCAAAGTTTTGGTTGATAATATAAATCAAATGAAGAAGGAGAATGTCAAGGTTGCAAGGTATGCTATTAAGGGTGCTTTTCACACTTCAGCAGTCAATATTAAATGCTCCAACTATCTATTTGTTTGGACCGGCAAAGTTCAATTTTATCGCTCCAAATCAGATGATGATTCGAATTGGAGGACGAATTCTCTCCAACCTAGCGAGAATGATGCACGCTAAGGACTAAAGGCGTTATTACATAAAATTACTGGCAGTTGGGATTTAAGTTTTATAATATAATACATGCATTTTTGGAGTTATAATGCATGTATTTTGCTTTAAATTTATGGCTAATGAAATTCCTAGGTTAATGACATTTTATGAAATCATTTAGTTTTTTAGGAGTTATATTGTAAGCCTTTATTATTATTATTTTTTTTATGTATTTCCATATTTTTCACTTTAAGTTGTAAGCCTATAAATACTTCTATTTGTAAAGAAGGGGAGAAGTTGTTTGAATTATCATATTGATATTTGAGTTGTAAACTCGTTTTTATGTGCTTTTCTCTTGTTTAAGAGTTTGCATCTTCGTTCTTTCTAGTGTCTACATTGTAGGCTGGTACTAGATCCAAAGTTCTTAGGGTTTTCAGGTCTCTCCTCGCACTAGGAGATAGTGGACCCTATCTATCAATCTTACCTATCCATCCTTTTTATCCTAATTTTCTGTTCTCATTTCATTTTATTCGTTTTTATCCGCTACACCCTGCATCAGTTTGTTATCAAAGCCCTAATTGATTCTTTGGTTATTATGTTGTTGTTGTTAGGTTTTTATGAAATCGATAATTTAGTCTATTGGAGTTCTCTACCAATTTATGATGAGTATGATGAAGATTACATGCTTGTGAATAAAGTAGCTAATGAAATTCAATTTACTCTGCAAATCGAAGCTCATTGTGTTGTTGATTGGGATTCTGCTCTGATTCTGCATGAATGCAATGGTGATGAAGATTTGGGTTCAATGGTTGAGGTACTTGCGGTAAAATCTATTCTATATTTCTATAACTTTTATGATTATGTTTGGGAATCGTTCATTGCTTGTCACGCTACAAAGTTTTACTTGGAGAAAAGAAATTTTTCACATTGTTCGAATTATGTCTATACTTTTCAAAGTCTAAAATATCAAGATGTTTGCTGGAAATTGTATGTGCACTCAAATGCAATTTAAGTCATCAAGAAAAGTTTAAATTCCAAATGGAACATGACAAAGTGGAGAAGAATGAAATTATTTTGAATTTTGTACTATTTGGATATGTTGATGCATGCTGAATTTGTGGTTCTTAATTGGCTATTGTGGCAAGTACTTGTTGGGTATCTGAAAGACAGAGGAAGACCAAACAGAACTTGGGGACAAGTTTATTCGAGAAGAACAAATTATGTGTTCCATGAAGTGTTTCTTTTTAAAGGGAATCGACCTTCTATACCTGAGTTTAGTTTGAGGCTGCAGATCATAAAAGAGTTACATAGCGATGACCCCGTTGGAAGGGACAAAACCTTTACACTAGTGTTTTTTTTTCCCTCATTTATGGCCTGCCATGCGCAAAAAGGTATATTGTTTTGTGGAACAATGTCGAATCTGTCAAGTTTCTAAGGGCAAGGCAACGAATGCTGCTTTGTACATGCCATTACCCATTCAATCACAACCATAGGTGTACATGAGCATGGATTTTGTTTTGGGTTTGCCTCGTACTCAACATGGTATAGACTCAATTTTTGTTGTGGGGGATCAATTTTCCAAAATGGCTTACCTTATTGCCTGCAAGAAGACAACGGATGCTTCAGAAGTTGCTAAGCTATTCTTTTGCAAAGTCTACTAACTTCTTGGATTACCAAGTTCAATTGTTTCAACCGTGACACCAAGTTACCAAGCCATATTCGATGTGTTCAATGTGAAACACCTCATTCCATACAAAGGAGACATCGACGATACTGGAAATGCAAATTTGAGGGCGAATTTTCTCCAAATCGAAGAGGATAATGCAGGCCAGTTCGCTAGTGCATTTATTGAATCATTGGGATAAAATGAATGACTATAATAAATTAGAAGAACTTAATAACAGCCATTAGTAGCTCCCAATAATAGCCAAGGTGTTTTGGACGTTTTTTGGCTAATTGGATTACTTTCTTTATGTAATTTTCAGTTTTTTGTCATTTTAAGTTTATTGCCTTTCTAATTTCTAAATGTATGTTACAAAATGGTTATAAAAACCATTTCTTTTTGTAAGATGAAGAAGTTGGACATTTTTTGTTGGTGAATGAAATATTCAGAGAGATTTTTATCTCATATTTGTGTCTTTCTCTTGTTTAAGAGTCTGCTGCTTTGTTCTTTCTAGTGTCTACATTGTAGGCTGGTATTAGAACCAAAGTTTATAGGGTTTTCAAGCCTTTTCTCGCACGAGGAGATAGTGAACCCTACCTATCAATCATATCTATCATTTTGTTTTGTTTTTATCCGCTGCGCCTTGCATCATAATGGAATTGGATCATCTCCAAGGCAAACTCTCAGGATCCTCTTAACCCACTAACACAAGCTATTGGATTTTGATCCAATGGCTACAAATAGTAGGCCCCTCTAAAGTTATAATAATTGTAACCGTTGGATCAAAATCCAACGGTCCATGTTATTTGGTAAGGAGGATCCCGAAGAATTGCCTCGGAGATGATCCAATTCCCATCATAATCATTCTAAGTCGAACCATGCCGATCGACCTTATCGTCGTAAAGAAGATACAGCAAACTCGCAGGTGGCACATTGCAAAATATGCAAATCTAGATTCCATACACCAGAAAAGAATTATATTTTATGCACAAATAAATTCATTAGCACACCACATTTTTGATATAACACATCGCAAATATGCAATATAAGCTTTAATATTCTACATCAACAAACAATATGTAAAATGAATTTGAATTTTGTCGGTCCCTTTATTCATTGTCTTTTTCTTTTTATAATTTTTTTTTTCTTTTGGTTTTTGAGAAAGAATAAATTAAATTAGATTAGATAGCAGAAATTTGAGAAAAACAAAATTAAAATGAGGGAAGTGGGAAGAATGATCTAACCGAGCTCAACTCAACTTGCTGACATCACCCCCCAGTGTGCACATCCTCATCCTGCACCCCATATTACCCTTATGTATTTCAGTGGTTCTTTTCCCAACAGTACACCCTCGGCGCAAATTAGCACCAACAAAGCTGTTACTCTCATCTCCCTGAATATATCCCACCAAAGATCCAACCCGTTAACCCATCTCCATCCGGGTTGATCATACGTAGCTTAGATCTCCTACGGATGGACTCCGATGGACCCGCCCACCATTCTTACTCCCGTTCTTCCTTTGAGGTTTTTCTTGGTCACCCGACCCGCATACAATGGAGCACTCGATTCCACATATGTTACTAAAGCAAGAAAATAGCCCATTGCTCCCATCGCTGTGTCGCCGTGTGTGGCGCGTTTCACTGGATTTAAAGCTCGAAAACTCTCCCCTATCATACACTGGCGGGAGCTCCGTCCGCCACCGCTCGAGCTTCGACTGCAACCCTTCCACGCTGTCGTCCTCGTTCCACGCGCCCACAACAACCGAGCTCTCGTTGTCCTGGTCCACTCGCTCCTTTGCGATCGCCGCAGCCACCTCCGACGGCGACGGCCCCAGCTCCGACTCCGTTAGGAACGGTACAGCCATGAGGTTCGACTTTCTTGGCGTCGCGTACGCATCGTAGGGCGACTGCAGCCTCTGGAATGGCGACTTGCCAGCTGGCAGAGCCGACCTCCGCGCTGGGGTAGCACCAAAATTGTCCACCAGGGTGAATTTTGGGGAGGGCTTGTGACTGGCAGGCATCTTTCTCGGCGGTTCTTCCGCTTCGGAGGCGCTAAGGACGGAGCTGGCCGGTTTCTCGTTGCTACTGCTATCGTTCTTCGGTGGGTCCTGCACGCCGGCATCGGAGGCGCTGAGTGCGGAGCTTGGCTTCCCTTTTTTGTCTTTCCGACTCTTTGGTGGGCCCACATCGGAGGCACTGAGCATGGAGCTCGCCTTCCCCTTTCGGTAGCTAACATCCGACGCACTGACTACAGAACTTACTTTTCCCTTTTTACCCTTCTTGTAAATTATATCTGATGAGTTGCCAACCAACGAGCTCGCCTTGGAACCGCGACCCTTCTTGCTTTTTCTAGCGCTGACGTCTGACGAGTTAACCACGGACGTTGCTTTTTCCGTTTTACCCTTGTGTCTGAATTCCTTTTCTCTCAGCTCTGACCCGAACATTGAGCTGGAGTCGCTCTTGGTGCGCCTCAGCTCTGGCTTCGAATACGTCGTCATTTGGCTTCCGGTGTGGTGGGTTTTTGTGCTGCGCGGCGCGTCGTCCTCGCCCATCAAAGTTTTATATCCAACTGCTGAGGCGCTGAGTTGGGAATACAAAGGCATGCTCCGCATAGAGCTATGAAGCAGCGCCACGCCGATGTTTAGAATCCCCTGCGGCCGACCCGAGGGGCGGCGCACCTGGAGCGCCACGAAACGCATGCCCACTTGAGGATGGTGGTGGTGGGGTTTTGCCGGGGTTGGAATAAGGTTACCAACCAAGATACGGACGGTTCCCACGTGAACATCCTTGAACCAATGCAGGGCGTAGATCTCGATCATGACCGCGGATGTGTCTTCATGCAAGAAGTCCTCGTCGACCCGGAACACAAACTTGTCGTTCCATGTAGGGTTGTTGTGGCCTGAGGTGTCCACCCGTGTTGAGAGTTTTCGATCCGGGTGCACCCATGCAACGGCGTATGTGCGCATGGAACGCGACATGGGCGCAAGGTCCTGCGCTGATATTACGTTGAGTTCCAAAAGCTGGAATGGAGCTAAGATTGATTGGGACATTGTCGCGATAGAGTAAAATAATTCAAATCGCGCTCAAAGCTTTTAGAATGGAAATTCAAATAGAAGCTAGGCTAGAATCTACAATTTACGTATTTTCTCTTGTATTTAGATGTGACAATTGATAGGAAATCAAAGAGAAGGACGTCGTTGGTGTGTTGTTGAGAAAGTGGCGATGGTGAAGGAGATGATGGAGATGGCTCCGCTCGTCGTCCGAAAAGAGGCGGCGGACGGACGACCAGAGGTGAGTGGAGGCATCTAATGGGAAGGAAAATATGTTTGGAAAAAAAAGGGAGGGGGAGAGAGAAAGAGGGCAGCTGCAAGGTGGAATTGTGTAAAAACAGCATAGAACAAGGAGGGTCCGTTATTTGAGAAAGACAAATGACGACGATGGGTGTTAGAGAGTGTTTGACCCCATGCTTTTTGTTTTGACTAGGTTTAATTTTGGAAAGTGGAAAGCGAGAGAGGGTTGTTAATTTTGGTGTAGTTACATGTACCTACAGTCCCTAATCTAAATTTAGGGTTTAATTAAGTGTGGGATTTTATGGTCCTTTGAATCATGTGTGATCGTCTTCAGCTAACAGTAATTTTGTTTTGTTTTGTTTTTTTCATTTTCTTTGTTTTTTGTTGAGAGCTAACAGTAATTGTTACCAGTATCACCTTAATTAAGTCTTTATCCTAAAGCCATATTGAGATAGGGAATCAAACTGCGGGAGATGCTTTGGCTTTAGCTGGTAGAGAAACCACAGAGTAGAGATGAGATGAATGTAAGCACAAAACACATTAATTTAGTACTTTGTAATATTATCCGGGAAACTGATTAATCTAGCTACTCTGTAATAATTATTCATGTGTGTATGTATCTTATCTTCTCTATGTTAAACCGAAGTCGGTTCAGGTTCCTAATCATCAATCTTCAGTCTAAACATTTGATGAAGATTCCAAGTCTAACAAAAATTCTTTTGTTTGCACAAGTAAAGTCATTTTATAAACCACGTAAAAAATTGTTTGCCTCTCCAAAATGCAAACTTATAGTTTTCGGTCAAAATGTGTATTTTACATCATGTTAATTAGAAAGCTTCCGGACAACAAAAAAAATGTAAAGTGTTCATCCAAAACATTTAGCGAAGAGAGGCTCTAAGCCTCTAAGGAACGTCGTCATTAATGGAGCTATGCATGCATGGTGTCCATCGGGTGACATCGAACACAGAGTACGTAGCATATGCATGAGAAGTTGAGAATATCTTCAGATTTACAACTTGAACCGCATATATAATGAACTATGCATCTAAAATTGTCCCTCATGGTTTACGGGTCACTAATTAAGCACACACATAAGGACGTATGTTTTGCTAGTAATTTATCATTACTTCAATTTAAAACAATAGTTAGAAGCAAAACCCTTTTATATCAGAACATTTTATAGGGCACGAGGATTGCAGACCAACGTTTGGGGCATGAAGATCGCAATAGGCCGTTATCTTATCTATATAAACTGTGAAAAGTCTAGCATTTCAGTATACCTTCTTTTCAATTCATTTATCCATCCAATCCCAGGTTGCTTCCCTTACCAACTATATCCAAGGTTCTACAACGCGCTAGTTGGGTGGTGGATAGAAGCCTAGCGCCTAGAGGACTAGGCAGGTGCTTGGTAGGGGCTTAGGCGGGGCCTCTAGAAATTCATGGAGTATGAATGTTGCACAAAGACGACTTCTTTCAATTCCATATTACAGCACCACCTACAATAGATTGGAGAAAGAAAGGAGCAGTAACACCTATCCAAGACCAAGGCCGATGTGGTATGTAAATAATTTAATTTGGAACTTAATCAAACTACGACTTAATTGCAATATTAAAAATCCATGTCTATTAATCTAACCATTATTTAATTTATCCAGCAAAACGAATAAAATGTTTAATTTCAATGAAATACTTGCAGGATGTTGTTGCAGCGGTGGCAGTTATAGAGGGGATTACTAAATATTCAAATGTAGAAAGTGTAGAAAGTGTAGAAAATATTGAAATGTGGTGTAAGGTGGAAGATGTGGGTTAGGTATTTATAGAAAAAAAAAATTAATTTTTTAAAATTTTTCTGTATTTTTAAAAAAAAATTTGACATTTTTAATAAATTTTAATGTTGTAATTAATCTGGACCGTTGGATTTGAAAAATAATCAAATCCAACAGCCAACACGCTGCCACGTGGCCAACGGTCAAATTTATGACCGTTGGGCCTTTTTTTTTTTTTAAATTTTTGGTGAAATAAACGTGGACCGTTGATCTGTGATCGGACGGTCCAATTTAAATTTAAATTTAAATTTTTTTTACCGTTGGAAATCCAACGGCCTACAAAAACTAGCCGTTGGAAATCCAACGGCTCTGAGGAGGGCCACGTAGCCCCTTGACAGTAGGCTGCAACTTGGCCTGCACGCGGGCCCCACCGCCTGCAATTGCTGTCGGTGACTCGCCTGGACTTGCGCGTGTTGCGCATGCGCCAGGGAAACGGACCGGCCTCTGGATCTGTCCATTTTGGGTTGGGCGCTTGACTGGCACGGGCTGGGTGCCAGCCTGTTTTCCTGGCTGGAGCTGATTCACTCAGTGCCGGGCCATTTTCTTCACTTGGTGCCGGGCCATTTACCACGGGCTGGACTTGCTCTAAGCTGAACTGGTAAATTGATATCTTTGTCTGAGCAAGAGCTGGTTGATTGCGACCTAAACAGTGTGAACCAAAGTTGTGAGGGTGATTTGATGGATGATACGATTCAGTTCATCAATCAAAACTACGGGCTTAGCGAGACTAATTACTCTTGCACGGGTGTTGATGGTACTTGCAGCACCACGAAGGAGGCCAGCCATGCATCCAAGATAACTGGCCACGACTGTGCATCCAAACAGTGAAGCTGCCCTTTTGAAGGCTGTCACTAATCAACCAATTTCTGTTGCCATTAATGTTGGTGGTTCAGAATTGCAGTCATTTTCAAGTGGTGTCTTTACAGGAACTTGTGGAACAAACCTCGACCATGGGGTTACCACTGTTGGTTATGGAGTTAGTGCTAATGAGATTAAGTATTGGTTAGTGAAGAACTCATGAGGCGCAGAATGGGGTGAAGAAGGGTACATAAAAATGCAAGGAGATGTTGAGACAAAACGTCTTTATGGCATTGCTATGGAAGCCTCATACCCCACTGCATGATATGTACATGATCAACTTGTACGTTTTTATAATTTTTTAATTTAATGAGGATAATGAAGGATTAGGCGAGTCAAATTATTCTTAAGACTTGATCATTGAACTACAAAAGTAATCTTACTTTCTAACATGCATATAACAGTTAGAAAGAACCAAGACCTGAGATTTAGCCATCAACTTGTACGTTTAATACAACATGCTAGATATGTGGTATATCTGCATCAAATGAACGACTTATACAGCTTTTTTGTTAAATAAGTAAACAATGGATTGGTTTAGATATACAAAATTAAGCTCAAGTAAAACCCAACCAATATGAAGCCCAAAGAAACAAACCAAAAGCCCAAAGGTTTTCAAATTTCTACCCCAGTGAAAGATTCAGGCCTAAAATAAAATCCATGGCCACCGTCTTTGACAACTTGAACGAGAAATATAGTGGTGGTGAACGGCGTTTTGGTTGGGAAAACTGTGGAAGTACACGTGGCACAGCTTGCTGTCTCTCCAAGCAAACCAATAAACAAATGCTCACAGTAAAATACTAGCTTATGACAAACCTGACTTATTTCTATGGTTAATTTGTACTTCTTATACATTCATTCTTAATTTTTGTCATCTGATCTTTTTTAATTCAGTCGATTCAATGGTTATAAATTAAGACGGTGTGCAAGAAATAAAAAAAAGTGTATGGATAGTACACCCCTATTTCTAACTTGTCCACATCCTTTTTCTTTTTTCTTTCTTAAAATGGAACACTGTTGGTTTAGCCACAGCACTCCACTCTTTCGGAAATTGGAAAGACTCACAAAGGCATTTCAGCCTCTCATGGCCACCATAGTGCAATTCACCAGCAATAAGAATCGAACCAAAGAAGTGCGGGCCTGAAATTTGTCTCCAACCACTAAGTCATATGGTGATGGTTATGTTTCTACATCCTTCAATGACATATTCTTTTACCATTATAAGAAAAGCTAAAAAGAATAAATATCCGCAGCCTCATTAGAGCAACTCCACCCCTAAAGACTTTGCTCCAGCACCTAGCCTATTTATCCACTTCAGTGAACAGTAATAGGCCAAAGCATCTCCACCCCAAAAAAAATGTGCTGGCACCCAGTCTAAAAATTTGCTGGCACCCAGTTTAAAAATACGATCTCCACCCCTACAAAATGCGCTGGCACCCAGTCCATTTAAAATATTAAATAATTTTATAAAATAATAAATAAATAAATAGTTTTAATTTCAGATAGGATTTTTAACCAATCTCGTCACACCACGTGTCATTATCTGAACGTACTATTTTATGAATAGATTTCCGCTAAGATTTTCAACCAATCCCGACAACCCACGTGTCACTTCCTGTTTATAGTAATTTAGGCAAGATTTCGATAAGATTTTTAACCAATCTTGTCACGCCACGTGTCATTATCTGAACGTACTATTTTGTAGATAGATTTCTGATAAGATTTTCAACCAATCCCGACATGCCACGTGTCACTTCCTGTTTACAATAATTTAGCTAAGATTTCGATAAGATTTTTAACCAATCACGTAGTGCCACGTGGCATTGTCCAGAACCTCATCTTCTCCTTTTTTGTCCATATAAACCCTACATCCCTACATCCATCCTCACACTAAACTTAATCCTTTTTTTTAGCTCAGAATTCTTCTTTATCGTTTTCAAATCTTAAGTTCTTACAATGTCTTCTTCAAGGAGAGCGTATAAACAGTTGCAAGAGCAGCAGAAAAGGTTGTTGACACAACAGGAAGAATTGGTCAATCTTGACCAAGGTGGAGGTGGAGATGAGGCCTTCGCATTGGAGGAGGATGAGGATGATCACCATAGATGGCGGAGGGCCTCACATTCCCGCCGTATCATGGAAGTTGTGGGTCAGATAGCCAAACCCAGACGTGCGGCAAACATCGATAGAAGAAGGGAAAGACGAGGTAAAGATCTCTTGGAAGATTATTTTATTCCCAACAGCGTTTTCCCTGATCATGTTTTTAGACGTCATTTTAGAATGCAACAAAGTTTGTTCGATAAAATCATGAGTGATGTTTGCAACCATGATCCATATTTTGTGCAAAAAGAAGATGTTTTTCATGTTCTAGGTCTTCTTCCTGAGCAAAAAATTACGGCTGCCTTGCGAATGCTTGCATATGGTTCTCTTTGTCTCGATTAACTATTTCTCTTTGTCTCTCAGCTGCCGCATCATGAGCCTCAGTAGCTGCTATTATTGCTGCCATAGCAGCAGCTTTTTCCTCATCTCTAGCCTTTTCCCATGCCATGTTCAGTTCACCTTAACGAGCAAGTTCCTCCATATATTTAGTGTAGTCATTTTTGAAAGAACTACCTTTTTTCTTTGATGCCTTTTTACCTTGAGGCCTGAGGAACTGACGAGTCGGTTGGGTCTCTGGCACTTCTTCAGGCGTCCCTTCCGTGTCTTCAAATGTGTTGGCTTCTTGTTCCGCTGTGTCTGCTTCTGGCGAACTGTGTAGACCCATACCGTGCATGACAACTTCTAGACCGGTTGCCACAATTTTGTATCTAGGGCAATCTTTGACAATTTGCCGACATTCCCATTTGTTGAATGATTTGTTACGGTTCTTTACATTGTAGAATGCTTGTGCTTGTAGTGTCTATAAAAATGTGGGATACGATAGTATTAAAAAAATACGGGTGTAACACAAATAAATAAATTAAAATATTGATGGGCGTGGAATGCATATAAATTACATACGAAATTACATAGAAATTACATAAGAAATTAAATAAATTAAAATATTGATGTGGGTGGAATGCATATAAATAAATAAAAATATTGTTACCTGATCCGCTAAACTTGTCCCACTACGCAAATTACTAGAAGCATGAGAGATGGCGTTTTTCCAACAAGTAAAGGATGGGTTGAGTTTTTTCCAACGACCTTGACTAGATCTGGCATCTTTTCCATGTACATCGCAAAACGATTTCGTAATTTTACTCCACATTTCTCGCTTATCCATCTCATTACTCGTAATCGGGTCATGAGTAGTGTGAACCCAACATTCACACAACGTAACATCTTCAATGAGCTTCCATGAAGTCATTTTTTTCTCTCAAAGTGTACAAAATATTCAAATGTAGAAAGTGTAGAAAGTGTAGAAAATATTGAAATGTGGTGTAAGGTGGAAGATGAGGGTTAGGTATTTATAGAAAAAAATATATATATTTTTTTAAAATTTTTCTGTATTTTTTAAAAAAATTTCACAATTTTTAATTAATTTTTAATAAATTTTAATGTTGTAATTAATCTGGACCGTTGGATTTGAAAAATAATCAAATCCAACAGCCAACCAGTTGCCACGTGGCCAACGGTCAAAATTCTGACCGTTGGGCTTTTTTTTTTTTAATTTTATTTTTGGTGAAAAAAATGTGGACCGTTGATCTGTGATCGGACGGTCCATTTTAAAAGTCAAATTTAAATTTTTTTTTACCGTTGGAAATCCAACGGCCTACAAAAACTAGCCATTGGAAATCCAACAAATCTGAGGAGGGCCACGTAGCCCTTAGCCGTTCGAAGCCAACTTGGCCTGAGACGCGGGCCCCGCAGACTGCAACGCTGTCTCCTACTCGCGCCCAGCCGCGAGTGTTGTGCACGCGCCAGCCTTTTGGACCGGCTTCTGATCTGTCCAAAATGGGCTGGCCTGCTGCCTGGCATGGGCTGGGTGCCAAGCTGTTTCACGGGCTGGAGCTTTTGGACAGGGGGCCAGGCTGTGTTTTGGACTAGGTGATGGGCAAGTCCACCTCCGGTGTAACTGCTCTTAGATCCTTAAACCCCACCCCGATTATCCTTCTCCCTCTTATTTCTGCCAGGAAATAAGTTTGCAGACATAAGATAGAGAGAGGGGTAAGCCTTGATCACTATGTTTTTTTTACACTAACGCCATATTTAAATGAGGGAATAAATTGGTCGCCTCTGGACACTACTTAATTACACTATCATTTGGTTCAGTGAGTTAATTAGAACTCAAGCCTCATTAGCCAGAAATAATTTACCTAAAAGATAAGGGTAGGTGGATTTGTTCACAAGCTTCCCCATTGTTCTGGTGAATTTCATGTCATTGCTTACTTTGCTTTATATTGACGTGGATGTCCAATTCCATGTATAAGGATTTCAAATTGTTTGAAGACCTACTTTACTTGCATATATTGATGGAATCACGTGCATCTTGCTGCCTATTGGGTTTTGGTGCTAGGAAATGATTTTCGCACACCTGTTTGTTCTGAATGCACACTCAGGTTTATTTGCCTTCGAATTTAATAAAATGGGAACCGTTTTAAATAGGAATGTGCAGAAAGAGAAGCAGTGCAAAAATCATTTCCTTTGGTATTGGGATCGGGATCGCGAAACTGATATGTTGTTGCTTTCTTTATACCTAAAGTCACATGTTCTTTCTTCCTTTGGATGAACAGGAAACGAAGGTATATAAATTATAGAATACTGCATAAACAAATGGGAGTCACAATTTCACATACATATGATATTGTTTCCAAAACCAAACGGGTACAGCCAGCTGCTTTGATAAGTTTTTAGCTAAATTTCAACACACACACACACACACACTATGTGATGATCCTTAAGACTACATGTTCCTTGCATATTTGGGTATAGCCGGTTGATTAGAACAGTGTACTCTCTTTTGCACTTAAGTTGGAATCTCTCCTCGTAATATAAATTAGATTGATTAGAATGTGGCTTGCATAAAGAAAAGGCTTCATGTACGTTTGGTTATTAGCAAAGGCAACTGAACACGATCTGTTACTCACACGAGTGGCTCTGATTAATTTCAATATTGTTTTAAATTTACAGGTCAAAGGCACAGAAATTGTAGATCTCAAGCAAGTAAAAGAATATAGTTTAAAAAGCATGTTGAATGTACCACAGAAGCCCTTCAACCCGCCACTGAAACATCTTTTTCATGCAATTCTTCTCCAAACTCTCATTCCGCTTCCGGGTTCACAGAATTCAATCAAGAATCCAAAAGTTTGGACTTCGAAGCCATTCGGCGAACTCAGTCTGACAGAAACTTAGAAGAAACTACTAGTCTATAGTTGTTGTGACGTGGAAGAGTTAAGGAATTCAGCTGCACCATTGAAGTCTTCATATAAACATGATCACGACTCAATGCTGGAAACAGCTCCTTCTTTTTCGATATTTAACGAAGCAAGTGAGCTTTGTGATGAAATGATTCCGAGGCAGGATTCTAAACAAGAACCACTAGGGAGGACTAATACAGTAGGAGATAGCATAGACGTGACCTGGGGTGGAGGCTTCAGCTTTGAGAAGATGGGATTGATTGAGGAGAAAGAGGAAGAGGAAGGTATGAAGGCGATCCGGACTTTGCGCATTGATGAAGAAGTAAAAAGACCTGCCAGTCCTCCCTTGTATCTTGCAACAGGGGTTGGGGTTGGTGGTGCTGGTTCTGGTTGTGATGCTTGGGATAATGATTTAACTACGGAAATTGTCGATGCGAGCGACAATCCCAAAGAGTATTATAAGAGGATGGTTGATGAATATCCCTGCCACCCTTTGTTCCTCAGGAAGTATGGTCAAGCTTTTGAGGTAAGATTTCTTTCTTCAAAGATGTCTTCTTTTTTCCTCTGTTGTTTTCCCTATTTTGGTTGTTCTTAAATTTGTTATTAGGGCTATATTTAGAATTAGGAGAAGGTAAAACTGATAGAGGTATCCAATTTTCAGTTTCAATAGGTAAATTCAAATCTGTGTGTCCATATCTGTACTCGATTGTGATTGTCGCGGGCAAGGTCTAACCCTTTGTTATTTGTTACAGAACAAAGCTTGATTTCTAATTCTAGTGTAATGTGAATCAACGCTTTCATGGCAGGCTAAGGGAGATTTCGATGGAGCTGAAGATTTCTGTTTCCGTGCTACACTAGCGAATCCTGGAGATGGTGAGGCTTTATGTCAATATGCTACGCTGGTTTGGCAGCTTCATCGTGACCAAGATAAAGCCGTGAGTTACTTTGAACATGCAGCTCAGGCTAGTCCTCACGACAGGTACCATTTTATTGATTAAATCTTTCTCCAAAGAAAACAGAAATCTACTTTCACATTACTTGCTGAAGCAGTTAGGTTTTGTACAAATCCGCGTACATTTTGTCAAAGTGATGCACGGTAAAAAGATCTTGACCAGATTGCTGTTTAGGCTGTTTAGCACATCTGAATGTTAATAATTTGTTTCTGGATTGGAGCAATATTCTTGCAGCATACGCTAGTTTTCTTTGGGGAATAGAGGATGACTCGGAAGAAGATGAAGCATGTCGTGGTCAGGTGGAGGTGCTTTATTGGTCTTTTTGTTCTCTGGTTGACGATATGATGGCATTTGAGAATGCTTACGTTACTGTAAATGACCTAATGCCCTGTGGAACGGATTCTGGATTTCACGGGCGATGGTGTGCCTGATACAGCAGCAGCTGGCTCAAGGAGTGACGACCCTGAGGAGAATTACAAGATGATGATTGAAGAGAAGCCCAACAACGCTTTGTTGCTAGGAAATTATGCTCAGTTCTTGTGGCGGGTGAGAAACGTGCATTCTGCTCTCTTATCATTCGGTTTTTTATATAAAACCTCAACTTACGAAAAGTATGAAGCTACTGCAGATATGATTTCCCCCACTGTTATTGATTTATTTCAGTTTGTTTTTGTGATTGACCGATTGGAGATGATCTCATTGCTTTCTTTCATACTTACCCGTGACTGCTTACAGTCCAAGGGAGACCTTCAAGGAGCACAAGAGTAGTATTTGCAGGCGACACTAGCTGATCCTGGGGACGGTGAGATCATGGCTCAATATGCAACACTGGTATGGGAACTTCATCACGACAGTAAGAGGGCACTGTCGTACTTTGTGCGAGCAGCTCAAACTAATCCCGAAGACAGCTCAACCTGGAAACATTGTCTTGAAAATGTGCTTCTGTATTCTGTAGTAATATAGCTTTATTGACCGGATTAAATGACCTGTTGGCATTTGGTTCCATTGCTTTTAGCTATATTCTTGCTTGCGGCGTATGCTCATTTCCTTTGGGAACATGACGAAGAAGATGAGGAGGACAGCGTAATGCAAGCTCACGTCCAAGCGCCTCTTGTACAAGGAGGAGTGGAGAGCGTTGGAAACGCCTGAATTGCTAACACAGATTGCCGGATTGATGAATTAATATCTAATGCTTCATAGGATCAGAAGCTGTACACTCTTCTTGTTTTTGTAACCGAGAAATACAACGTAAAAATTCAAAGTAACTTCTGGGACAAAGTTTCAATTTAGTGCAGAATCTATGTATCAATTCATGTAACTGAAGCTACATACAACAAATAGTTGCTGGTCTTGCCTGGCGCCCCGCCTGTGCGACTCTATTTGCGTGTAAGCGGCATCTTACCGCATTCTGCGTATCACAATTTTTGCACTTGTAGGAATGAATTTAAATTAACTGCATCAACAAGAGTGACTATGGAGGATTTCGCAAAGAAAAAATGAGGTCAAAATTGCAAAAATCCAACGCCAAGCAACTCCTCAGAAAAATATGATGGATATGCCCAATACATCTAAAGCTAAACCGACTCTACGGAATACCAGTATGTAGTTTTTGCAACCAATTAAAGTTATCTGCTGACCCAAAACTTTCCTTCGCTTGCTGTAAAATAATCTTACTTAGTGAACTCTGATGAATTTTGCCCGCTTCTTGATGATTGATAACCCGAGTTCCCTGTGTCTTGTCGAGGACTTGACCGATAGTAGCCATTTCCCCTCGGTCGACTGTACTCGTGGTCACCTCCATCATAGCCACCTCCCCTCCGAAAACCCCGCGAGCCAAAACGACCTCTCAGTACCTCTGCTTGGTAGCTGCCCCTTCCTCTTCCCCTTCCTGTTCAGACAATAATTCAATTGCAATAAGATTACAATAAGAGCATATCTTCATGTAAAGCCTGGACTGTAAGAGTTTGTTATACCATAACAATTTGATCAGAAACAAAGCTCAAATATCTCTATAGCTACCACAGTAGGCAGTCAAATTTGACTAAAACGAATCGTATCAGAGTTTCTTTCACCAGATAACTAGAACAGGAAAGTGGATGACGCTAAGAACATTGCTAATTGCCAACTATTAAATACAGACGCCATAGATGGTGAAATGAGACCATTATGAAATCATTATAAAATTGCCACAAAATATAATGATGTCACAAATATCACATGCACGGGCAAAAAAAACAGGATTAGGCAATCATCGAAATACCGAATTGTTGAACATTGCAATATTTTCAATTCAATGGTCCAGATAATAAGAGAGAACCGATTACAGAATTTTAATAAGACAACAAAATACTAATACAGAAAACATACTTCCCACTCGAGACGGGATGTTGCTGTTTGGTCTCCGCTCTTCAATGTATACTTGTTGTCCAGCAATCTGAACACTACCAGCCTATATAACAAAATAAAAACAATAAAGATTCAGCAAGCAGACTTGTAGGAGGAAAGCAACTAAAAAGTTAAGAATCCATCTCCAACATTAAATTCAATTGGCATTGCAAGGAAATTTTGGTAGAATCTTCTATCAAAATTCAAATTTCGCAAATGGCACTCATTGTATTAATGGTTTCATGAGTAGACCTTGACGGCATTCTGCACACCGGTAATATCTTCAAATTCAACAAACGCATAGCAAACACCAACATCCTGCACAACAGTGAAATACTTTATAGCTTAATAATTTCAGACTGATATATAATGATAGATCTGGAGAGGAACCTAAGGTAATAAAAGAATGCAAAAAGCTAGGAGCATGAACCTTGCGACTCCTAATAACCACTCCTTCAGGCTGCTTGAGTTTTCCAAAATTCACAAATTCCTCCTCAACTTCAGATGGGGAAACAGTAGTCGGCAAGTTTCTTACATAAACAGACTTTATTTCGCCTAAAATCACTCATAGAAGAAAAGAAAAAAAAAAGATTAATTAAATAAAACTGTTGAAGTCCATTTCAAACTGCGGATCTGTTGATTTAGCAGATCTGTTGATTTATTAGCGCGAACAAGATAACAAAACTAAGAAAAAAATAAAAAAGACAGGATTTTAATAAAACTGAAAATTTTAAGCAATTATTCTCAAAGAACTCATTAAAATAAGCACAAGAGTTCACCTTCATCTTCTGGGGCAGCAACCTCATCTGCTGTCTCTTCTACAGGCCTTTCAAATGTATTCAATGGTGAAATGGGCTGCTGAGCAGAGGACTGAGGATAGTGATTCCACTCTGAAGCCATTGGTGCACTTTTGTTAGATGAATGGTGGGGAGTTACAGAAGGCACAGGTTGTCCTTTAGCAACGCGTAACTACCAAAAAAAATCAAGCAGACGAGTGGTCACACACAAATGAGCATAACCTTCCATACATACATAATTACATCCGTATGTGTTTTTGGGAAGAAAAAAAAAAAATTAGATACAGGTTTGGTGCGTACTATAGAAGCATAGGTCTGCTTTTGGGGCTCTCCAATAGGTTCCTCAACAGATGCATGCAGGTGATCTTGTACGGTATTCGGCGTGCTTTGAAGTGAACCATTTGATTGTTCTACAGCACCATCATCCAACAAGTTCTCAGTTTCAACAACTTGCTGCAGCTGCTGCTCGGCAAAACCATAACTTTCAACTGGTCCATTTTCTTTGACAGCAGGAGCCACAAAGTCTCTTGTCTGAATTTCTTCACCCAGATAATAGTTAGCCACTGCAAAATCACCCGTTCCATCAATTAAACTACTAAAGAAAGACAGTTTTTTTATACATTGGAATGGTAATTATCAAACGACCAAATCAAAACAAGTTACTAAGAACTTCAGAAACTGCATCCAAAAATTTCAAAAGAGCTTTTGAAATGGCACTGAAGGATGAGCCATAACCAGGTGTATATACGGTTTCAGATGAAGTAAACATAACCATTCAACCACACATAAAGAAGAAACCAATAAACAACGCACTTGCTGATTATAGAATTGGTTTTGTTGTCATACATAAAATTCTTTCTTTTCAAATACCAAATTCTTGTACATAAATGCAAAAATATAGTCGAACAAATTCAACAACACTTTTTCTGGTAATAATCACATCCTTTCTCCCAAAACTACCCAGACTTTACAATGCCTACTGATAAAGGAATCCTTGAAATCAACGTAAATCATGAGGCATTACAATACCTGGATGCGGAATTGTAGCAGGAGCACTTAGCTTGGCGTTGAGATTGTTTTGGGCTAATAAGACCGCTGGATGTTGATGAATCGGTTCCTCATCAACGAAGTGAAATATATCATTCAGCACAAAAAAACCTCTCTCCTGAGGTGCAAGGAAAAATGTTTGTGCAAATTTCCTCCTCCCAGTGAAAGTTTTCATTTCAAGGTAGCCTTCAACCAGCACAAGAACACCTCCATTCCAGGATTCCAAGGAATTTGCTTTGTTGATTTCAAATCCAGTCAGATTAAGTGACATAACAAGATCATGGATTTGCTGTAGTATACAAAGAAAGAAAGATAAACTTGACTATCAAATAGACAGGAGTCAAGATATAAACTATGCTGACAAGTGGAATCAAATTTAATTTCTTGTCACTAGGAAATAATGACTCAACATTTCAATCAATAATTGTCTAATGGACTGTGAGTGAAAGAGTACGGAAAATGTTGATATATAGATGTCAAGGACTATTAGAACAACAGGTTAGTTTCAATTTAAACATTTTTACAGCTGTAAAAATGAAAGGGTTATCAACATGATTAACTAAAAGGCCACCCATAAAACTGCAAATTCAAGTGAATTTAAAACCAATGAACCCAAGGGAGTTCGGTTGGAGGGAACTAATCGCTGGGCCAGTCTGGCTGCGATTAATATCTATATTGAAGTGTGATTTTTGTATGACTTGAATCAAACTATTAATGCCTTTATCAAAGGGTGATTTTTGTATCACTTGAATTAAAACAGCAGACTTATCAAAGCACTCCATTGTTATGTTTCAAATAAAAATTCAAATTTGTGGCCCAAAAAAAAAAAAAAGAAAGAAAGAATCTAGAACAGAGCAGGATACTAAGAACTGCAATAGGCACTTGATAAATGTCCAGGTATATCATTTATACCTGGATAAATACAGTTATTAAGAATTTAAAACAATTTATGGTTTACTAGACAAGATTCCTGAACAAGAAATAAAATAAGAGAGATGCTGTAATATGAATGAATGTAATCAATTGTGAATAATGTCGCCATTGTTAAAACTGTAAACTCCAATTATACAATATGATTGTTTGTCCAGAACTAGCACTTCCTGATATTTCTCATTAGGGGGTAACGCCTAACGAAAATAATGTAAGGACCACTTACAAGGTGCCCAACCCACTAAGTTTGGACTACAGTTTACAGTTTTGACAGAAATTAGGAAACAAAAATAGGAAGGGTAATGCTTAGACCAAATAGGCATACTTCTGGAAAAATTGCCAGTTCTTATACCAAAATAGAAAGGTAATCTACAGCCAATATCCTTATACCAAATAGGCATACTTTTCCCAATTTAGTTGATCCACATAGAGGGACTGTGCAAATTGCTAACTCTTCACTTTGGTACACCTCATAAAGGCCTAACGAGGAGTAACGAAGATACGAAAAGAAAATGCAGCCTCTCACACACAATAAAATGAGGTAAACATCTCTTCTCACAGCTAGATACACCAATGTCTGCAACTAGTAGACTCAATCTCGGGAAACCATTCTGCCAACCCGGTACATATAGGTAACCCAAAATTACAAAAAACAAATCAAACTACTTACTTGAATTACTCCGAAAGGCATGTAAAGAAGATATTCTGCTGTTATTTTGTAGAAAAAGTTGAAAAATTAAAGAGGAACTTAATAAGTTATGAAGAAGCAGATGGCACCAAAATTGCCGGAAGAATACCTGCATTGCGACGGCGGTGGCTCTGGAATTGCCATCGGCACGAACCATAGTGCTGGCCTCGGAGTAGAACTGGTGCACGAAGTCCGGCTGCTGCTGAAGCACTTGGTAGTACTGTGTCACAAAGTACGTCCCAACCTACACCACCACAAGCACGACGGCGATTTCACCCTCAGCGGCGGCAGAGCAAGATAGAATAACAGAGAGAGAAGAGAGAGAGTGAGAAAGAGAACCTGAGCAGCAGTGACGGGAAAGGCATAGGGGGTGGCCATATTTCGAAACCTCTAAAACCCTAAAACCGCAAAACCAAAAACCCTGGATCTGCAAACGCCCCCTCAAATCTGCACCAAAACCCCAAAAGATAAGATTTATACACAAATGGCATAAACGCACAGATATTTACAGAGAGAGAGAGGGATCTGTTAAAAGGTCGAGGCTTTAGTTTTAGAGAGATAAAGTGAGAACGAGGAGAGAGAGGGAGGGAGGGAGAAGGAGACCTTGAGATAGATTTGGGGGAGAGAGAGGAAGTCGATCTTCTTCACTCACTGCGTTTTGCGGCTTTTGTTGGAAGACGTCACCACAGAAATTGGTGACGCTCACCCCACGCGGCGCACGTCCTTCACCTTTGATACTCTTGCTAACTTGCGCCTGTGACATATTTGCCATGTCCTCTTTTTGTATGAGAAAAAGGCAAGTCCTTTTTTGCAAAAAATATTTAGAAAGGGAAAAGTTCGATAATAATAAATTAATAACCGTTAATAAGAAGATTGAGTTTGCTCATAATAGGCAAGATCTAGAGGATGAAGGAGGCTTAGGTTGGTCAAATTATTAGCAACAAAATTTGTCTCACGATAGATATGATGAGTATTACATGATGAACAATCTAAAGTTTTGATATATTTTTAACCGGTGTGACTTCATAGTTTTGTATAGAGGAATAGCAAGCTCATGTACAAAAGGTAAAGTAACTAGCAAGTAATATCATAAATGTTCATCCCTAATTGATAATTGAACGATATAACATGTCAATTATTATAGTCGATATGAAACAATTTGAAATAACATATTATTGTGCTACAGTGTCAATTTGAATCATTTATCATATAAATTCTTATGTGAATGTATTAATCAAATTGACAATTTAGTAACATGTTATGACAAATAACAATCTATTGAACATTACTAGGTCATGAATTTGGTTTATTGATCATGTAAAGTCTTGTTTATTCTTAATTAAATGCATGATTCTAATTGACAATCTAGAAATATTGGATTACTGACGAGAGAACGTCTTTTACGAAAATACATTTTATAGTGAGACATTTAGTGTGTTAAAGTACATACAATCATGCTATTTTTTTAAGGTTAAATTTGAACTCAAAAGACTTGAAACTCGTTATTCTAAAATCAATGCATCTTTTTTATCCGTCAATATCAAAGTACGGATGAATGAGATGTATATCTATAAATGGCAAAAATAATCGTACCACAAGAATATCCGCTCAAGGAATTGTGAAACAAAAAAGTTGAGTTACAGAATGCAGCAAGAAATGAAAAGGGGAGTCTCAATTAAATCGTTTAAGCGATTGCATATGAATTTTATACCTCAGCTAATTAACATGTTCTAATTAATTAACCCCTTATTCAAATGTACACAAAATTTTATGAACGTTTTCCTTCGGCCAAGCTTACACGCAGTGCTCTTCCTTCTAGTTCCTGATGAGAATCCAATAAATTAAACACAAGGATTAGTAGCCTACCCAAAAGTTGGACATAATGTACCTACTGCTACGGACAATGCCTGCATGAACGAGTCATTCATCCTTACAAGCAAATTGCAATTTGACATGTCCGCAACTTCTTCCTTTTTTTATCTATTGGAGAAATGCTTGTCCGGGATGGTAACAGGCTACGTTGTGTTGCAAGTCAACACAAGCAATCTTTCCTTATAAACAAGCACATGTCAAATTGTAATTTGTCTGACCCAATATGCAAAAGCAGGAATGGCTTGGCCATCCATAGATGGATCTAAGAATGTGACGAGATGGATTAGAAGAGTAGCATACAAATCCATTGAGAGATTCTAAGGCAACGTCCATTTCTGATTTTGTTGAGTAGCATACGAATCCATAGCCACGGGACCTTCCTGTCTCGCCATCGTACAGAACCCTAGCTCCAACCATGGTTCCATATTCTTGGAAAGCTTTTGTCAAACTCTCGGATGTGGCTGACCAGGATAAATTCCCAACGAAAAGCTTGTACTCAGTTTCAAGATATAGAGGTACCTTCGTTCTCGGCCTGTCAGAAATGTTCACCCTCAAGGTTTGCCCAGCAAATTCCTGAAATGTTGTAATAAGGTCTGAGTAATGCTATTATGTATGTACCGGATTTATTGACCATATCTCTCACGGACATATAATTCAAGTTAATTCACGTGACGGACCTATTTTTGGAGGAAAGAGTGAAGTTTTCTTTATCATTGATGTTTGAAATCAGAAAGAGAGAGTCTTACGTGTCCGTCAAGATTTTCGATGACAGCGTTACAATCTTCAATAGCGCTCATTGTGACAAATGCAAATCCTCTGCTCTTTCCAGTGTCCCTATGATACAGAACCTGCATACGATTCATCAGTAATAATTCAAAGTACGGAAGGCATAATCGGTAAAAAATTGCACAAGGAGACAGTTTTGCTAGTTGATGAAGATGGCATTGTCTCGCTGGGTTTTGTAACATCTACTAAATCTAATGAACTGCGATTAATCCTTATCCTCAGAGAAATCGTGAACTCGTTGATCTAGCATCTGCAAACACGTTTCCATTAAATGCGAGTTCACGTTGTAGAAAAATTCCTGGTATTAGAGTGCCCAACAACGGATTAATAACACCACCGTTACCATTAGTAAAAAAACCTTAATAAAAAATGGGAAACGTAAAACTGACCTCAATGAGCTCAGGACTAGCATAGTCCTGAATAATCCCAGTAAGCTGTGCACTGTCCACACTATAAGGAAGATTCCCAACGTGTAATCCTCAGCACCCGAAACTTACTTGAGGTCCCGATACTACTAATGGAAATTAATGGCTTTAGAGCACAAGTGTGTGATAGTGATGGCGGCGATGGCATGCGATTTGGTGACATTTTAAGGTGTGGATGATCGGCTGGGGATGAATGAATGGATGATGACCGAATGCATTTGACGGTGGAGATGGAGGGAGAGAAAGAGCTCATGGCTGCAGCTGGGTGGCAGCAATGGTGGTAGGTCAACTGTGATTGTGTATTTTTGAGTGAGGTGAGAGGCTTGGAGGAAAGCTATGTGAGCTGATGTGGGCAGATTGTGTCCAGTGAGAGTGGAAGATATATATGGGGGATAGGGTGTATCAATCTAGTAGTAGTCTGCCCTCCAAACAAAAAAGAAAAAAAAGGATTCATTGTTCTGGAGCGGAAATCATAGTTCTAAGTTTCCATTTTCTTGGGGGACCATGGGGATTGGGGGTGCACTTTTGGTTGATTGCCGATTTGCAACTTGTCCATGCTTCTGTTTTCTGTTTGATCATTTGCCACATTAATTTTTAGAGTTTTTGCTTGTTTTTGGTAATTTTATTTCAACCCATCTAACATATTTATACACTCAACTTACTTTTTGCATATATTTGATTTTGAAAGCTGCTAGACCCCATACAACACAACACAACTCGACGGCAACCCCTTTCATCGTCCACCATGAACCCACCCTCGAGCATCTTCTGCTTGTTGAGGGCCTTGACGCCTTGTTTCGCCTGTGGTACACCTTCGCGAAGGCCCCGCACCCCAGCAGCATCCTGACTTTGTAATTCCCGAACAGGTTTATCTCAGCGACGTCGGAGCCATTGCAATTGTCGGCAACGTCCTCAATCTCCGACATGCCTCAAATTTTTCGGACTAGCAAAAAATATTCCCAATTCTTCCTCCTCGGATTCATTGTTGATACTTCCTCCTTGCGTTTGCCGCTGATATCGACGAAGCTCCATTAGAGACAAAATACAGAGAATCTTGCATCTTGATGAAGGAGCGGCAATAGTAAAGCATTAGATCAAACATACCATTAAACACCACCTAGCCTACCATAGCCACCATCCTTACTGTTACCACATCCAGCAAAAACATAAATCTCAAAATTACATATCAGGTGACCAACAAGCATGAATAAAATTTAGAAACAAAAACTAAATTAGATGGGGAAAAAAAAAAGGAGGATAATATTATGAGTGAGAAGAGGATTAAAAGGAGCCAAGAGAGCAAACTGGTTTGTTAGAACAGTAAAAATCAAAGGTTGAACTCCGAACAACTACTAGGTCCTTATATGTCATTTCCTCAAGAGGTAAACTTGTAAATAACTTTTTTATTTAGACGTGGGTGGGAAAATAAGACATAGGGGTTGGGATATCAGCACTCTTGATTTTTAACTAAACTATTAATATCTCTTTAAATCCAAATTTAATACATAATATACCCTCATAAACCCAATTTAATATGTGAATTTATTTTTACACCCATTGGATTTTTAACTCTGAAGCTGCCACTGTGCCACTTGACTTCTGATAGTAAAGGGGTTACCTCATCCTTAAACTTCTCCTCCTTCTCTTCGTAACTGGACAAAGCAACTACTTCTACCTTCATATCAAAAAATGAAGTACCTGAGACAATAGGCTTTGACTAATAAGAACATCATACAAAGCAAACATGACTGGAGAGAAGAATATAAGAGATCTCACAGTAAAAAATTCGCTCAAGGGGGTACTTTTATGGGGTTGTGGCTTCGGTACTCCATTCCATATCTACAGAATTTACAATACTTAGAGAAGTATGGGAAAAGAAATAAAGTATAAAAGCAACATAAAACTGAAGAAAATATTACCTTTTGTATATCTTCCCTTAGCACAGGTTCCAAATATTCAAAAGTGGATATTAGTAGTAAGAACAACTCGGCTTACAAATTTGAAAATAACTTATATTCTTAGTCCTAGTATCGAGGAAACAACTAAGCAAGATAATGCAAAGGAATCATGGTTACTGGGTCCTTTCACACCAGACATTTTTTCATCATAAGTAAGCAGTAATTCAAAAGGAAAACTAATAAAAATGGCTTGAAAACTTTGAGTTTTAACGATAAGGACAAAATAAAGAGTAAAATGAATAGTACCATGATTGACTTTTTAATGTAAAAATGTGGTTTTTCGTTAAAGTGAACAATACCGCGAGCTTTTCGTTAAAACTCCCTAATTCAAAAGGAGGTTTAATGTATAAAACATATGGGAAGAAGGATTGGTAGGATATTCTACAGACTACTAGGGTTGGACTTGAAGGCAAGAAATCACTAGAATTTCAGTATTGATTCTGGAATTTAGGGCAGCAACTGCTCCATAATTTTTTTTTTGGTGTCATGGCGATTAAGCCAAAGGCTATCAACAAAATCTGAGGAGTAAACATGTGCTTTCGTTGTTGTTTGTTTTAGCCGGAAGGTAGGATGCTTTCGTTGTATTTGTTGAAAAAAAATACAGTAAAGTAACTTCTACAATCTAAAAAATTTAAATCTAACGAACAAAAAATTCATAAATTGGGTCATATCTTGGTTTGAGGATTCAAAACTTCAAAATCATCATTCATCAATAAAAAAAAAACTTATTTTTCTCTACAAGAGCTATTAGAGTTTTAGCCAAAATGAACGTAGGACAAACAAAAAGTGATCGTAGGGTTTACTTATAGTGTTTGTGGTTATTGATAAATTTGAGCTTTATTATTAATTTCATTTTGTACTTAATAGTAATTATGCAATAAGATAAAATAGACAATTAACATTTAAAATTTAAATTAGATATAAAAAGAGGTTAAATGAATTTAAATAAAATTTTCCTTTTGGTAATTAGAAAAGACCATCACAGGTTATGGTGCAAGGTTTTATCTTAATTTTTAAATACGTGAACTGTAGCATATCACGCATACCAAATAAATACAAGTGTTTTAACGCAAGGATAATTTAAACTTAAAATATTTAGTTTATAGCTTGTTAGGGATGCAAGTTGGAATAATGTTTCTTATTCCAACAATACATTTTTTACATTCAAATTCGAAAATTCTGCAGTCGAATATTTTCTAAATTAAAGTGAAAATTAGAATGCATACTTGAAGTTTGAACAAAACGTCCTCACCAGTCACCACCCACCATCACCACCACTGCAATGGGGATTTGGGGGCACTTTAGGTTGGTTTTTTTTTTCTTTCTATTTGATCATTTTCCACATAAGGCGTGGACATAAAAACTATGGAATGGTCAAACCTAATTGAACCGCGATAAAATAAATCATAAAAAACCGTGTTGATAGAAAAAAAAATGCCTCGGTTCGACAAAATGTCTCAAATAAAAAAAATAAAAAAAAAAACACACCGTCACCTGGAATGCCATGATTCGTGTCTACTTTCAAAAGGGCCAGTTCCAATATGCGGTTATTTATTTGATTGGACGACTGATCGCAATGTCTTCTCAAACAACACAGTGATTGCTGGGTTGGGAGGATTGGAGAAGAGGTACAAGTGTTTGATGGGATGCCGTTGAAAGATGTGGTTTCTTGGAAGTTGGTGGTTGGGGACCTTGTGAATATGGATGAAAAGTATTTTAAACAAATGAGTATTCGAGATTTGTCATCTTGGACTATAATGATTTCAGAAGTTTCTAGGGTAGGACATGTCGTTGATGCCCGAGAGCTCTTTGATGGAACACCTGTGAGGAATGTTCAGGCTTGGAATGCAATGATGGTAGGGTATACAGAAAACGGGTATGTTGAAATTGCAGAGGAGTTGTTTCAGAGAATGCCCTAGCGGGATTTGGAATCTGGTACTCAAATGGTAAATGGGATGTTCATGCTGTTTTCGGGATAAACCCTTACAAAATGATGTGCCATGGACAAATATGATTGTTGGCTATTTCGGAATTGGAGAGGTTGGCAGCGCAATTGAACTTTTCACGTCAATGCCAACTCGAGATACAGCTGCATGGAATGCCACAATATTTGGATTAAGTGAAAATGATCTTGGTGAAGAAGGGTTGAAGCTTTTCACTGGAATGAAAGATATGGCTTATAGGTGAGGCGATGAGTTTTCAAATCAAAGCAGATGGATTTGAAATTCCTCCAAGTGTCTGTCTGGGGTGCATTGCTTGGAGCCTGTGGAATCCACAAGAATGTTGAGGTCAGTGAGATTGCTGGGGAGAGGGGTTTCGACGGAGAGCCCGATAACTCTGGTGTATACTTGATTTTGGCCGATAACATGTTACTCTTTTAGTGTACACCAATTGATCAAATCTAGATGTCTTGCTGATTTTGAATTTGACTATTTTTATTTTTTATTTTTTTTTACAGATGATTTTTCAACAACGACTAAAAAAATTAAAGGGCTCATATCACTAAAATCAAACCCAATTTATGTTCACTTTCAAATGAAGTTATTTAAACAATCAAACAATACAAGAGAATTTATTGGTGCATAAAGAATTTTATTTTGAGTTATTTCATATAGCACCCCAAGTTTTGATCTATTGATTTAAAATATGCATGTAAAATACCTGACATGAAATCAATGCTAGAAAATTCTTGTGTTACGTTATGTGTATATTTACACATCTCATTCCACTCTCAAACAAGTAAAATTTGAGGCAACAATTATCATTCAGTTATAATAATTTGGTAATGAACTTGCTATCTACGAGAATCGAATATAAAATCACTCATTAATAAATAAAGATGTATAACACTAAAACGTGATATTAGTGATCATACTAATTTTGTATCATATCCTATTAACGTTATCTTCTGATAATTGTGAATTAGGGATTTTTGAAATTTGGATAAAATCAATCCTCATTTATCTCAAAGTACTTGTTAAGCAAGGATTTTCCTTGTAAAATCGGTTAAGAATATTCATCTTAACCCTCAAAGTTCAACGTTCCAAGGAAAATAAAATCACGCACTTTTCTTCTCTCGCACTCTTTTTTATATTTAATTATCAAATTTAATAAAATTAAATGTGAGTAACGACCATGATTAAATAAGCATGTATAAGAGAAATTTAATAAAATTAAATATAAATAACGATCATGATTAATTAAGAGTGTATAAGAGGATAAAAGAGAAGAGAGTAAGTATTTATCAATTCTGGCTCCAAGAGGGTTAGCCCTCCACATTAACAAAGCACTTTTCCAGATATCATGAAGCATTGTGTTGAGGCTCCCAACACTCAAAACATAAAATAAGGACCACCAATTTCTTGGACCCAACGATCTACCTTATACAAAAAGAAAAAGCGGATGAAAACTCTTATTAAATTCAAACAATCTACCTTACTTCTTCAGTTAACTCAAGACATATAATGCACTCCTCAGTCAAACCCAAAACCTTCTTTTTTAAAACAAAAGAGGGAACACTTATTCTCCTTTCGAGATTATTATTTTAATTTATACCATTTTGTTCTCATTCTCTTCAAACATTTAAATACTCCTTAAACTAAGGATAACGGTGTCTCCTTCCCATAGTTTTAATATATTTATTACTCTACCGTCAATTCAATTATACAATTGTACCTTCTGCACCTTGCTGTAAAAATAAATAAATAAAAAAAAAAAATATATATATATATATATAGATATAAAAGGATGCACCACTTCTTCCAATCCAAAGCCCAGAAACCCAAATACCAAACCCCACAAATAAAAAAAAAAAAAACTAATTTTTTTTCTGCAGAAAAATCACAGTTTCAAGCAAGAAAGCTTCAATCTTTACTCTACCCAGCTGGGTTTTTCTCAAAGTTTTCAAAAACCCATCTCAGGAACTCCAAGAACTGACATGATTTGATCCAAAAATTGAAAACAGCAAATGGGTTTTCTCTCAAACCCTGTTTCCAATTTCTCCCTCTATCTGCTTCTGTTCTACTTCCTCATCAGTTTTGAGCTCATCCCAGTTGCTGAATCTGCCACTGACATCACCTCCTTTGTTTACAAGGGCTGTGCAAAGCAGACATTTTCAGATCCAACGGGGGTCTACTCCCAAGCCCTCTCCGCCCTCTTTGGGTCCCTGGTGCAGCAGTCCTCCAAGGCCAAGTTCTTCAAGACCAACACAGGCAGTGGCCAAACCACCATCTCAGGGCTCTTCCAATGCAGAGGTGACCTCAGCAACTCTGACTGCTACACCTGTGTGAGCAAATTGCCCCAAATGTCTGGCAATCTCTGTGGCAAAACCATTGCTGCTAGGGTTCAGCTCATTGGGTGTTACATGCTCTATGAAATCTCAGGTTTTGCCCAAATTTCAGGCATGGAAATGCTGTACAAAACCTGTGGTGGGACTAATGTGGCTGGGTCAGGGTTTGAGGAGAGGAGGGACACTGCCTTTAGTGTTTTGGAGAATGGGGTTGTGAGTGACCATGGATATTACACCACAAACTATCAGCAGGTTTATGTTTTGGGGCAGTGCCAGGGAGATGTTGGGGACTCAGATTGTGGGGAGTGTATGAAGAATGGGGTGCAGAGAGCTCAGGTTGAATGTGGGAGTGCAATTTCTGGCCAAGTCTATCTCCATAAGTGCTTTCTTAGCTATAGTTATTACCCTAATGGGGTTCCCAGGAGATCATCCTCTTCTTCCTCATCATCCTCTTCATCTTCATCAGGTAAAAAATGGAAGTTACATTCTGAAAATTTTATTTTGGGGTTATAGATGGTTCTTATATCTTTTACAATTTGTCCAATTTCTTGTTAGATTGTTTCAAAGAGGATTTTTATTTTATTTTATTTTTTTGTTTTGTTTGAATCTAATTTACGGAGAGTGAGAGGGGAATTCGAAATCGGGTGCAGAGGGGGAATGATTTGATTTCTTATATGTGTATATTAGTAGTATTTAATCTGGTTTTTTTTTGGATTGTGGTTGATTGATCTTAGGGTCAGGAAATACAGGGAAGACGGTGGCTATAATTTTAGGAGGAGCAGCAGGAGTTGGATTCCTAGTCATATTTTTGTTGTTTGCCAGAAATTTGATGAAGAAGCATGATGGTATGTATTGTCATATATACACATCCATGAAAATGGAGATATGCATTTGTGTTTTCAGTTGTTTATTTATCTTTTTTTTTTTTTTTTTTTTTAATTTAGGATTCTGAATTCTAATCTGCCATGGTTGGAATATGTTATCCTGTGCAGATTATTGAAGAGGGAACACATGGGTTCTCAAGATTGCAAGCTTCTTTTGAGGTGGAGATACTTAAGGAACAATTTTTTGTTAATTTCTTTTTCTGTTAATTTTGTTTCTGCTTTCTAGAGAGAAAAATAGGGTTTTGTGGTGGATAGAATTGGCAAACACAAAGTGGGGAAGGAGGATCAATCTGCGGATGATCCCCTTTTTTTGTTGGAAAAACAAGCAATTATGAAACTGAGGAGGTTTTTCACAGGGATGAGAATTTTGATGTAGGAATGAAACGAAGAGAAGGGGATTTTTAGCTTGTTTCGGGGTATTTTATTCGTTATAATTTTTAACCGTTAAATCTTGGATAAAAAGTACAATAATCAAATACTTAACGATTAAAAATTTAGACGTATAAAACAGACAGCGAAGCATAATAGAATATCGAAGAAGACAAAACAGAAAAGAAATGGACGGTGGAGTTGCAGATTATGGATTCTTGCTTTACTTTGCTTGTTTGTCTTTTTTTTTCTCACTTGTCTTGCAGACCAAACCAAATGCTTCTCCGATTGCTTGCTTCACAACTTTTATGCTTTTCAGAAAAGTTGCACGTTGCAGCTTCTCTCCCTTATCTTTTTTACTCAAAGGGTACATAATTTTTAATTTTTTCTAGGTTTTATATGGATGACAATGACCCGTGACAAAATAGTTTTATTCAAAATTTGTATTTTCATGTTTGTTTGTCGTAAATTACTACAAGAGCCACAAAGCAAGCAGACGACAGTTTGACGCGCTTTGGGCTTTTACTGCATGCTACATATTTTGAAAGACTTTGGAAGTAGGTTGACGTCATGTCCTGAAGAAAAAGCTAATGGGGTGTGAAATGTTATTTTGAGAAGAAAGATTGTCTACTCTCCTATTTCCAATGTCCTCCTATTTTTGGTGTTTTTTTATTTGTATGATCATGGTTAAATCATGTCAACATTTTATATTACTATTCACTTTTGTTTTATTATTTAAAAAAACAACAATATAAAATGTTGACGTAGTTTAATTGTGACTACACAAAATAAGAGGGCACAGAGGGATATCGGAAGTGGAAGGACAAACAATCCTTGTCCTATTTTGAGTGACATTGTGGATTTCCAACGCAAAAGCACTACGAATTCGATTGACATAACTTATGGTCAAATTTTTATTTTTAAATTAATAAAAAATAAAATTGATAAGTCATTGAATTACATAAAAATAGATAGTTAAAATTTAAAAAATATTACAAGTGTTGCAGTCTTATCGGATTAGAAATGTGATTGTGTAAATCCTAGTATATCTAGGAGTATCTTTGTATATTCTCTTTAGTAGTTTAAGTCCTATTAGAGATGTAATCCTATTAGGGTAAGGGTTCTACCTATCTAACTACTATAAATAAAGGCATAAGGTAATACAATACACACCTCATAATAACATATATCTCTTCTTTCTCTATTGTCACCAGCCCCTCTCCCTTTCTGTTCTAAATATAGTTCAATCAAATAGACCTACAACACATTATTGGCACGCTCTTACAAGAAGTTAAGGAACTAAAGGATCGTGGATGAGGCTTTCTTCTACAAATTCAAAGACTTTCAATTGTTTTCTGCCAATCGGGTTCTTTTACAATAAATTAAGATATTTGAAACAACCTTAAACCCTGAAAACATTCCCCATGATGCATGAATCCCCTATATTTATATTTTCCTTCCAATTACATATATTGTATATATGTCTATATATTTTGTCAATATATGTACTTGTTCATGCAATATGCAATTTATACTATGTGAAATTTGTGAGTCAAAGCATCAAAATTAATTTGGAAGCAATTAGGGCTTTTAACCCTAGAATTTGAAATAAAAAAGAAGAAAAAAACTGGAATTTTTTTGCGGCACCGTGGCACCATAGCCGAACCATCGTGCTAGCCTGAAGCCTAGCTGTGTGGGGAACTGTGTCATTTTGACACCTTGGACCATGAGCGTAGCCCTTTTGGGCTTGATTCCTTTCGAACCTAACTAGGCTTTGGCACTAATCTATCAAAGTGGCACTAATCTAGCCAATATGGTAATATTATTTTATTGTTAATAAAAATGTAATTAATAATAATTTTTTTAACTTTTATTATGTAATCTTTATGTTGCTCCACACTTTTTTTCAACAACCATAAGCTCAAATGGGGTTCAGTCTTGATAACAAGAAATCATTCACAAGGCACAAATGTTGGAACATTGTGAAGCAAACTCTATAGTACAAAGTTCTGCCTATTGGTCCACATGTTCAGTTGAACGAGACCCCATTGCACGAATCAATTATTGAAGAGTTGCCACTGGAGACCTCATTGGAGACACTATTGGCAACCCCTATTGAATCGGTCACACAAACGGAAGAAACAACTAGGCCTATTGGTAAGAAGGCCGCCAAGAAAAAAAGCTGCAAGAGGGAGTTTTTCGAATAATGATTATTCGAAATAGTTGATGAATTGGCTCACCAACATGCATTGAATATGGAACGAGATAGGTTAACATATGAGCAAGACAAGGTTAGAAATGAAGCAAAGGCGAGAGAAAGAGAGTTGAATTGGCAAGAAAGGCAAGAGGAGAAGGATCTGGAGATCATGTCACAACACCTGGACAGTGAATCCCCTAATTCAATTGGAGAAGTGAAAAAAATCGTGTCATGAGAAGAAGGTTTTGCTTGAAAGATGAGGAAGTTCCATACACTCCAGGGAAAGATGGACTGAGCCAAGCTGATTTTATCTCCTAATTTATAATTAATAATGTTTGTTGTAATGCTATGACTTCCCGTTGTATTTGAAAATATTTATTGGAATTAGACTTTAATTATGTTTGTTTTAATCCCCAAATTCTTTAAAAAGTTAATATATTTATATATAAATAGAAATCGTCATTGCCCTTACCTTTTCTTTTTTCAAACAAGTAAACTTGTACAAAAACAATTAAGGTTTAGAGTGAAAAGGAAAGGAACTTTTATTACCCTTGCCATCGCCTTGGTGGAGACGGTCTTAGAAGTGCTATGCAGCCAAGATGCATTTTGCATCACAAATGCCAGTTTTTCTTTTTGGATGACACATGAAAGCATTACAGTACTAGTTGTCTGCCAGGGATACATTGATTGACATTCATAAGGAAACTATATATGGAGCTATACATTTGATTTTGATTTTTAACAAGCAAAGAGAGGGCAGAAAAAGAGAGAAATCCAAAGACCCACATGGACATAATACTAAATTCGGAAAAGATTTGCAATCAAAGATGATGTTTACATGGGAAGATACTTTGACTGAAGGCAAAAGGGTCCCAATGAGGAGGAGGATTAGATTTCAGATGGGAAATCTTGGATGACTTGTCTTGTTTTAGATTTCAGATGCTAATGGTAACAGTATATGGTATGGTAAAAGCTTGGCTAGTGGACTTGGTAGTGACTGTTAAAGAATGGGTGATAATTTTGAATATGACATGATAACACAGTTTCGAATGTAAAATAAAGCTAACGGATAAAGGGCTGGTTTGATATTGCTGTGCTTTGAAAAAAAAGCTATTTCCGCTGTAATAAGCAGCTGTGAAATAAAGCAGTAGAGTGTTTGATAAATTTTTTTTGTAAAAGTGCTTTTGAAAAAAAAAAACAGTATTATAGTGTTTGGTAAACTTTTATGTAAAACAGATGTGAAAAAGAACTGATTTTTCAAAGCTTGGTTTCGCAGCTTCTTGTTTTTGGCTTTTTTTCACCCAAAACTGTAAAAAAAAACTGAAGCTGAATGTTTATCAAATATAAAAACAGCTTCCAGTTTTTTTTTATACCAGCTTTTTTTAGAATCACCTCAGTACCAAACCAGACCAAGGTCAACAAATAATAATTAAACATATCAAATGAATAACAAAAAGAATGCGTTGTCTAGCTTAATTTTCCGCTTGACTACTTATTTAGTTTTAAGTCAAACACTCAACCCACGGCATTCACACCTGTAGTACTATTCGGGTTATGGTGTTTCTGTGTGTCAAACGGGAGGCTTCTTCTACGTGGGTGGTGACTGATGAAGATGAATTTCGATTCTAAATTATGAAAAGCTTAAGAAAGAACATACTGTTAATACATCATTGTCTACGTGGAGCCAGCAAACAAACCATATCAACCATATCGGCGTGGTATCCATACATTTTCCACATAATCCTACATGTGCATATGCGCCCTAGAAAATAAAAGGCAAAACGAAACCACAATCAAAAGTCACATTCCTCGCTGTCAACACAGGTGATGATGCATGTAATGACAGGTCAGACATGGGCGTGATGGGTCCGTTGTACCCTTCATGCATGCATCTCCTCCTTTCAGTGCGCACTTTGCTAGCTATTCTTTGACGTGAGCTGCTGGTTCAATCAAGACGTGGTGTGTACTAGTTGAATCAAGCTTTGAACAAAAATATGAGCTGCTGGTCGAATATTCAAGCTTTGAACAAAAATGAATCTGCTGCTTGGAACAAAATTGATCCACATCTTGTTCTGTTTGAAACACTAGTATAGTGTATCTATGTATCATACATTCAAAATTTCTAACCACTCTCACCAAAAAAAAAAAAAAACAAAAAGAAGTTTCTTACTACAAATGTAATGTATCTATGTATACATTCAAAATAATGGACTGAAATCAAACATTCAAATCTAACACCCAACTGGATGAAAAATGTCATCTTATTTAAGGATTAAAATCTTGTTTCTTTAACTTTCTTTACTTCTTTCTATCTAGTTCCACTGCCAGTCTACCACTCATGTGTTCGATTCAGCTAGCAGTGAAAGCTTTAATCGAAATTTGGTTGGAGCCTTGGAGGGCAAGATACTGGAAAGGTTTGGGGGATAACTTGGAGAGAAGAAGACATAGTTTAGTTCCACATGATTCGAATTATATATACCAGTCCTGTTATTAATTTCCTAACCACTGCACCGATTAATTCTTAAGCGTTTGAAAATTAATAAAGGGTGCTTGGACCTACTTAGGCGCCTACCTAGCCTGTCTAAATCCACCTAGGCATCCACTTAGGTCACGATCCTCACTTAGATAGAAAATAGATAACTTTCACTTTACTTTTGATTTTTATTAATAAATTGTAAGGAACTTGTTGAATACTTTGATGGGCACCCATTATATTCGGATTCCCCATGTTTTCAATTTGTTGTAATACTTTGTAATCTATATATCTTTTAATTTTTCAATTTGTATAAATAGACACATATTTATACGATATATAATAAGTTTACTTAAATCCGTCTAGTACCGCCTAGCCACCTAGGCGCATCGCCCGACTAACGCCTAGTGTTTTTTAGAACCTTGTACAAAATATGGATTAAAGCTAATAATTCGATAAAGTTCATTGATCGATAATTACTTTCAAACAGATAGTTAATGAGATAGAGAAACCTCATAGAGTGCTTGAGAGATGCCTCCGGGATTCATAAGGGATTGCGCTTTCAGACTGATTGCAATCTGATATTATGAAGAAGGCACCAAAGTTGCTTGCCTTGTCTAAAAATGAGACAAAAGAGTACCATATAAATCCGTACTTGTTCTGTGACATCCAAAACAGTTGACGCCCTCCTCACTAAACTAAGGCAATAATGAACGATAATGTTTTTCCATTCCAGCAAAGAGCCACAACTAGAGAAGCTAGTGGTGTTTAATCTATATGGCTGAGCTGAGCACACCCATTATAATTTCTGCAGACATATCTGTTGAGGTTTACGAGCCCCAACCGAAGTATTCTTTGAGACTTAAAATTTGAATTTCTTGCGTCCGGCAAGGGTTTTAAACAGAACAGAAAGTTTCCATCCACATGCGCACAAACTACAATCTTGGCACAGCACCACTACTACTATTACACTCAAATTATGTGAGTGCTTGCATGCTTAAACCTTTTTCCACATCCTTCACATTCCTGCAAATACTAGCAGCGTCGGAAGCTTCGTCCACGAACCCTTCTTTCCATCCTAGAGGGTCCGTGTAACAATTCAAATCTGATCCTGTAATTTTGCTCCCCCACGACACACACACACACACACATTAAGTAAAATCTCTACTTTTCATTTCAATCTTCACCAAACAGATGGAAAGCATGCAAATTGGCTTAAATGATCACGATTTACATTTCAATTGATGAACTTATCAAAATTAAATAAGAGGTAAGTTCAAATTTCACGAAGAAGAGTTCGATAGTCATTTTTCCCTCACCCTATATATGATCAGCAATGAACGAAAAAACTTAGTAAATACATGAAAGTTGAATAGAATCAACTAAATACTATGTTTTTCCAATTTATATATGTTAGTAAATACATGAAAAAATTACGAGACAAAATTTTTTTGTACCCGTTATTTAGTGAACACAAAAAACTCAATAATCAAAATAATTCCAATACCTAATAACATGCCTAAACGGCTAAACCAATATATTATATGGGATTAGAAATTCTAATTAATTGCGTATTAGATTTTATAAAATTACTGTGTTGTTGCATAAAATTTTGTCTCTCGCATTGGAAAATAATAAAAATAAGATAACTCACGTGCAATCAGCATGCACAGCTAAACCCCTCCAAACCCCCAATTCGAAGAAAGAAAAAAAAATCCCACCCCTCCACCGCCAAAACTCAATAGAACCACCCCCCTCCACCACCAAGCTCCTCTCCAAAATGAACCAAAACTCAATACCACCACCCCCTTCACAGCCACCATCCAACTCCGACCCGCGCATATTCCACGCTCGTTTCATTACCACCGCAAACATCGACCGCTCTGTTCTCAACAACCTCATCACTCTATACTCCAAGTCCAATCTCCTCTCTTACTCTCTTCGCCTCTTCCACCAAATCCCATCTCCGAATGTGGTCTCATGGACCGCCGTGATCTCCGCCCACACAAACACCCTCTTCGCCCTCCAGCACTTCGTTTCCATGCTCCGCCACCCCACCTTCCCCAACCAGCGCACCTTCGCTTCCCTCTTCAAAACCTGTGCTTCTCTCCCTTCTCTCTCCTTCGGCCTTGCACTCCACTCCCTTTCGGTGAAGCTCGGCATCTCTGCGCAGCCCTTTTCCGGGTCCGCCCTAATTAATTTTTACTGCAAATGCCGCTTGCCTATTGATGCCCGCAAGGTGCTTGATGAAATTCCTCAGAAAGACGAGGTTTGTTATGGGGCGGTGGTGGTTGGGTTGGCGCAGAACTCGAAACCCATTGATGCGCTGTCTGCTTTTGCTGACATGAAATGTTCTGATGTTAGGTCTACTATGTATAGTGTTTCGGGTGCACTTCGTGCTACAGGGGAGCTTGCTGTGTTGGAGCAATGTAGGATCATACATGCTTATGCTGTTGTTACTGGACTTGATTGGAATGTGATTGTGGCGAGTGCTTTGGTTGATGCGTATGGGAAAGCTGGGCTTGTATCTGATGCTAGGCAGGTTTTTGATGAGAATTTGCCGAGCATGAACGCAGTGGGGTGGAATGTGCTGCTGGCGGCATACGCACAACATGGGGATTGGAACTCAACGCTTGAGATTTTCAATGCAATGGAAGCTCAGGGGCTTGCACCGGATGAATATAGCTTTTTGGCAATCTTAACTTCATTTTGCAATGCAGGTTTGGTTTCTGAGACTCACAGGTGGCTGAACCGGATGAAGGAAGATTATGGATTGGAACCAGCGCTTGAGCATCATACATGTTTAGTTGGTGCAATGGGACGGGCTGGTCAACTGGAAGAGGCAGAAAGGGCTGCACTGACAATGCCATTTGTGCCAGACGCTGCTGTGTGGCGATCATTGCTGGCAAGTTCAGCATATCATAAAGCGCCTGATTTGGCTAGGTCCATGGCTAAACGGTTATTGGAAATTGACCCACATGATGATTCAGCTTATGTAATTGCTGCAAATGTGTTATCGAATGCTGGAAAATGGGATGAAGTTGCAGAAGTGAGGAAGATGATGAAAGATAGGAGGGTAACGAAGGAAAGTGGGAGGAGTTGGATCGAGGTACGGGGGAAAGTTCATGTGTTTTTTGCTGGGGACAGAAGGCATGAGAGAACGGATGAGATTCGTGCTAAATTGGTAGAGTTGATGAGGGAGATAGAGAAGTTAGGATATGTGCCATTCTGCGATGAGATGTGGCATGAAGTCGGGGAAAGGGAGAAAAAGGAATCCCTTTGGTACCACAGTGAGAAGTTGGCAGTAGCATTTGCGGTGGTGAGTGGTGCGGCACCACCAGGAAAGCCATTAAGGATTGTTAAGAATTTAAGGATCTGCAGGGATTGCCATGAGGCCTTCAAGTATTTCTGCAGAGTGTTGGAGAGGGAGATTATTGTGAGGGATTTAAACAGGTACCATAGATTTGTAAATGGTAGTTGTACTTGTGGCGACATATGGTAGCTTGGTTTATGCCGATTAATATAATGCTCCCAAAGCTTGTGCTGGACAGAAACTCAGCCACTAAAGGTGGAGGGAAACTTGTGTAGAACTGTCATACTGCCTCAAATGATGCAGGATAAAGTTACTGCTAGCATGACAATAGGATCAAGTTTTTACTTTGAGAAGGTAGGAGTCGGAAAGGAAAAGGATAACGTCGGTGCAGCCTAGTGCAGCGGCCTCCTCTCGAAATGCAAAGAGTTGCAAGGAGGCTTCCCGTCATAGACATTAAGGGAAGGGATATTCCTTGTTAAAAAGCAGAGCCACTGAACGGAAAATTATGTTTTCTATTGTTTTGTTTTTCTCTCAAAATTTTTTGGCGAGTAAGACAAAGGATGAATAAAACACAAAGGAAATAAATGTGTTTCATAGAGATTTCGTCCTATTTGATGGTTTAAGATGGCAGTCTGCAAGAAAAGAGCAAAAAGACGCAGGGCATACATCCGTTTCATGTAAGTTATTTTCGAGAAGGGCCGTTTGTGATGGCCGTTGCTACGAGCACTTGGTTAACCCGTAGTAGAAGAGCTTCCTACAAAAGCAATCTCAAACGAGCCTTGAATACGTAACCTAACTTGTTCACCTTATTCGCCTATACATTCATCTCTCTGTTTTAACTTGCAACATTCCACTAAGCTTGCCGAACAAATGACGGTTAGATGTGCGGTCACAGATTCATCGAACAAATCCGTTCATCAATAAAAATTAACATCCATAAACAAAACTAACATCCATAAAAACTACAATTTAACACAAATAAAAAGTGAAAAAGAAAAGGCGACCAACGGAGAGGAAGAGCCTCCGTGAGGAGCTGAGGGATGGCGGAGGTCAGGGTTTACGTTTTTAGTTGAAGGCGGGAGGAGGGGGAGGAGAACCGAGGATGCTGGCCTGCTGCAACTCCAACTCGTTGAACTGCTGCTCGCGATCCATGGCGATGATGAGTGGGACCCCCAAGATCAGGAACGTCGTTCCCAATATCCACGCCGCCTTCCCCGTGCTCTTCGCCAGCTTCTTCGTCACCGACGACGCGTCGATCGCCACGCGCTTCGTCTGCTGCACGATCTCCGATTGCGACACCCTCGAAAGCATGCTCTGTTCTTCGCCGTTGCTTCGGAGCGACAGTCGCTTTCTCCCCTCTGACGCCATTCTTTGATTTCCTTGTGCTGTCTACCTGTGTTTGTGAGAAGGAGGTTTTAAGTTCGGAGTTTTTAGGGTTTTGGAAGCGTTGCTGTTGGCGATCGACCAATCAATATTAACGGGCCTTATATTTGAAGCGGGCATAAGACCCAATTTATGGACTTTGTAAATGACAATGGGCCAACAAAGGCCCATTAAAATTTAGTAATTTATAATTTTGTTTTGTTTTCGTTTTAAAGGAAGTAATTCGCGATGCGAGCGGGACAAATTTTTTAAGTTATTTAAACTATTTTTAGTTTTTCACGCATTAATGTTTATTTATTGTCATCATATTGAATAAATCTAACGGCTATGATTGAACAAGAGTGTCTAAAATGCTCAAAATAGTATATGAAAATCACTTTCCTTTTTATACAAGAATATTCTACTCTAATAATAATGGAAAATAAGTTCAAATCTCGTGAATGACAATTTTTTTGCACTAGTAAGTGTACTTGTAACTATAAGTGAGAAGTGAATGACACAAGTTCATTAATTTAGTCCCACCACTTAAAATCCTAGCAAACATCGTTGTATCAAAAATAAGATAAATTGAAAAAAATATTATGGTTTAATGATATTCACAACTATCAATGTTTATGATTAAATTCAATTAAGAACAAAAAAAAATTTAAAAAAAAAAGCCGCTTTTATGAACAATGATATTTGTTGATGCATAAAATTGGGTAAATTTTGAAACAACGTAAAATGTCAAAGTTATGATCTTCGCATAGTTGCTCCGGTGATTAAGTGTAAACAAATATATAGATAAATAGAGATAGTAAAACAAACACAAGATATACGTAGTTCATCTTAAGTTAGGCTATGTTCAGAAGGGTAGAGATCAATGATGTTGGGGAAGATTTTATTCAGGGACTCAAAAACATTCTCAGTAAATAAAACTGTGAAGAAACTTACCTTAGGCTCAGGGTACAATAAACTTGTCATGAAATTAATCCACAAGTATGAAACCGCTCTTTATATGTTCAAAACATGAGAATGGTAAGTTTAGTACATTTTCCAATTCAAAGCATTTGGATATCCGAGCGTCCATGATCACATCGCTGTTGCTGTCCCCACCCTTAACCCCAAAACCTCTGCATACGACCAGAGACGAATTGCACACCCACGGGACTGAAACTGTAAACCCCAAACCAGAATCTTTCCCTCCCACTACCACATCCTTGTATGCCCGGCAAACCCTCACAAGTGCTTCCCCGTCGGCAAAGTTTGCTGCAGAACGGATGGAGGAGAGCCAAGGTCCGAGATATCAGAATCCGAATGAAGGTTCACAACTGTGCCATGATCCGGGTGAAGCCGGCTGCTGAGGGCTTTAGAAATGGGGAATGTGGATCCCATAACTTGCAAGGGAAGATATCCTCCCCACATAAGCATCAACGAAGGCCATATCATACTGATTGGTGGTGTTGAGAATGAAATCCTCAGCATCGGAGTCATAGAGGAACAGCCTCTCGTGGATGCCCTTCCACATTACCTTATCCATGGTATTGGGTGACACAGCATGCTTGCCTGATGGAGTCATAATTGAGAAAGCCGGAAATCCCATGGAACATTCTAAGTTAGGTTCAACACCCAATTGTTCGGCTCAGGACTTCTGATAGGATGTCCGAAAACACATTGAATTTGGAGGTCACAAAGAATCAGCAATTACAAAACAACTTGCAAAAGAGGCAAATCCTTCATTCCTTCTATTTCCCTCAACCATTCACAGTGCCATTAACAGAAAACTAGCAATGTAACCTACCTTGCATTTCACTAGCCAAAAACAATGGTAAGCTTCCGCCACCCTGACCAATGCACAATATACGCATTTTTTCAGTCCCACTCAACGCGTTCATGAGATTGTGATTACAGGATGCTATAGTAGCCAACCCAGCTGCCACCAATCTCCTAAGATCTGAAAAAGCAGGACCATCATACAAAAGCATTAATCTTTTCGAAAAATCAAAGTAACCAAATGTGTGCAATCATTAGTTTCAAATTTCATTCAACAGTGACCAAATGCTAATTACAAATTCAATTGCGTATTAACTTAACGCAAAATCCACACCAAATTTGATGCATTTGTAACCAAATGACAGATAGAAATTGAATGGGAATTAAAATTGAAAAGAGGAAATGGGTTTTGCTTACATGGAACAGCCAAGCAATGGGGCTGCTGCATAAGGGCGATCGACTCGGGTTCCGATAGCCTGCAGGCAGCCAAAACCTTGACAGTGCTCTGGCGGGTGTCGTCGTTGAAGCGGAGAGCGCGCCATTGATATCCTAGCACTCTGAATCTCTCGTTGTGCTGACGGCACTCGTGTATCTCTTCGTACCGTTGCTGCAGCCATCTCTCCGTCGACGCCCAGTGAAGCACGCTGGGTTTTGAGGAAGGGTAGGTGACGACGGAGACGACACCGTTGCCTTTGTCGGATGTGGAGCGGAGGACGGTGTGGCCTTCGGATTTTTTTCCCCCACCACTCCGAGGCGTAGAACCAGTCGCATTCGTCCTCGATGGGACGTCGTACGGCGGTTGAGAGCTTCCGGATGTTGAGTCCCTAGCTCAATCCAGCTCTGCGCCACATGGCCTTAGGTAGTGAAAAACAGCCCGCCCTTCTTCGGTGGTTTTTAACGACTCGGGGTTTTAGAGTTTTGTTCTTGCATCATGGGTGGCCGACATTTGTGATAGACCATAACGTGGAATGCTGGGACTTCTTGATTTTTAGATACGACGGTGATTTGCGTTTCATCGTGCTAATCTCTTATAAAAATGCGTGTGAGAAAGAAGCTGCATTTCGTTTTGGATATAGCCAAGCCTCTAGCATCTTTGAAAAGTATGTGTATATGGAACGAAAAAGGGGAAGGGAGGAGGCCGCATCATCTGGCAATAAGCTGGTTGATGGTGCGACGAAGAAGATGAGAAATGGCTTGTCTCAATTCCAGTCAGAATGCATCGATGAGGGCGGAGAAGAAGCAACTTGTTCCAAGGAAGAAAATCGACATGAGGATGTTGTACTATGAAAAGCCTGGTTTGGATGTTGTTCACACACACACACACCATAATAAAAGATCTCGTTGAGCAGCACCCACCATTAACATTCCTTCCTGCGCCACAATGCTGGCAAACACTAGTAGTGCTAGTGCATTGTTATGGTTCTTGTGAGCCATTTTTCCACGTTTCCTTGGACGTGCTTGTTACTTGTTTGATGTTTATATATACAGCATCAGCATAGCACACATGACTAAGATGACTTGTCGAGAGGGTGGTGGGTTAGGATTAACTAATTTGGTAATCCAACTTCTGGTTGCCTAATTGACTAATAGTCTAATAATGTGGGTTATTTTGGTTATGTTCAAAATAATGTGGGTTATATTATTGTAGTTTCATAAATAGTGGTTGTTTTGTTCACTTCCAGAAATAGTGTGGGTTATTTTGGTTTAGTTTTCAAAAATAGTGTGTGATTTTGTTGTAGTTCCATAAATAGTATGAGTTATTTTGGTTCAATTTCAGAAATAGTGTAAGTTATTTTAGTTTAATTTTGATAAATAGTGTGTAATTTTGTTATAGTTCCAAAAATATTGTGAGTTATATTGGAGGTTCAGTTTTAGAAGTATGAGTTATTTTGCTGTAATTCCAAAAATAGCGTGGGTTATTTTGGTTTAGTTTCATGAATAGTTTTGCAATAGTATGGGTTATTATGTGTGTAATTTTGCTTCAATTTCAGAAATAATGTGCGTTACATGTGTCAGTTTCATAAATAGTTAGTTAGTTTAATAAATAGTGTAGTACATGTGTCAGTTTCATAAATAGTGTAGTACCCGTGTCAATTTCATAAATAGTCAGTCGGGTTAATAAATAGTGTAGTACCCGTGTCATTTTCCTAAATAGTCAGTTAGTTTAATAAATAGTGTAGTACATGTGTCAGTGTGACATCCCACATCGCCCAGGGAAGTGATCCTTAACTGTATATTCTCATCTCTACCTAGCACGAGGCCTTTTGGAAGCTCACTGGCTTCGGGTTCCGTAGGAACTCCGAAGTTAAGCGAGAAGGGGGCTAGAGCAATCCCATGATGGGTAACCCACTGGGAAGTTGCTCGTGAGTTCCCAAAAACAAAACCGTGAGGGAATGGTAAGCCCAAAACGGACAATATCGTGCTACGGTGGTGGAACGGGCCCGGAAAGTGATCCGCCCCGGGCCGGGATGCGACATTTGGTATCAGAGCCTAACCCTGGTCACGTGTGTGCCGACGAGGACGTTGGACCCCTAAGGGGGGTGGATTGTGACATCCCACATCGCCCAGGGAAGTGATCCTTAAATGAATATTCCCATCTCTACCTAGCACGAGGCCTTTTGGGAACTCACTGACTTCGGGTTCCATAGGAACTCCGAAGTTAAGCGAGAAGGGGGCTAGAGCAATTCCATGTTGGGTGACCCACTAGGGAGTTGCTCATGAGTTCCCAAAAACAAAACCGTGAGGGCTTGGTAAGCCCAAAGCGGACAATATCGTACTACGGTGGTGGACGGGCCCGGGAAGTGATCCGCCCCGGGCTGGGATGTGACAGTCAGTTTCATAAATTGTGAGTTTAATAAATAGTGTAGTACCCATGTTAGTTTCATAAATAGTCAGTTTAAGAAATAGTAATAGTACTCGTGTTTAGTTTTCAAAAATAGTCAGTATTCAGTATAAGAAATAGTATAGTATCCGTGTTCAATTTCATAAATAGTTTGTTTAAGAAATAGTGAAGTATCCATGTTTATTTTCTATCCAAAGAAAAAAAAAACAACTTAAATATATAAATTGACATGTGGGATTCGCACGTCCACACTAACTATTTATGAAACTGAACAATATTACATTGTTTATAAAACTTAACGGTACTACACTATTTATGAAACTGAACAGTACTATACTATTTATGAAATTGAACACCATTTATGACACTGATAGGTACTACACTATTTATGAATCTGAACGGTACTATACTATTTATAAAAATGAACGGTATTACACTATTTATTGGTCTAGATTCATAAATAGTGTCTACTTCTTGGTTCACTTTCATAAATAATGCCTAATTATTGAATCTTGTTTCATAAACAGTGTATAGTAATTGATACAATTTCAGAAATAGTGCCTCATTCTTGGTCCTGTTTCATAAATGGTGTCTAATTTTTTGTCTACTTTCATATATAGTGCTTAGTTTTTTGTCATGTTTCATAAATAGTGTCTAGTTCTTGATCCAGTTTCACAAATAGTATATAGTAAATGGTACAATTTCATAACTATGTCTCTTTCTTGGTCCAGTTTCAGAAATAGTGTCTTGGCTCTCAGTGCCGTCTTGGCTTTTCCTTTTCAATATCCCTTTCCTCGTCCTTCGAAGATTATTCTGAGTCCTCAGCAGCTTGCATGTCAGCAAGGCTCTTCGCTGCCGTCTAAGCAACCACAGCCGCCTGCATCCAAAACCGCCACTTCATAAACCGAACCACAAAATGCAGCAAATCTACACTTCCATTTGGACTAAAAACATAAATATTTGCATAATTATAAATAAGCTGCCACAAACAAATAAAAACATACACTTGTAATCAGATTACGACACCAAACTCTTAATAGCTTAAACCTACTTTGAGATTCGCAATCTAAAACGGTTAATTAACTCCGCAATTATCAAAAACCACAAAAAATTAGATCCACTAATCAACATTTCCCAAACTTATAAACCCCAATTTCCAGTATACACCAAATCAGGTTGCATATTCAAATACATTTATCAAACGCTTGAAACACTTACATTGCGAGAGATCTCCTCGGCGGCTTTCCGGAGATTTAAGAAGACGAACGAAAAGCCCCAACCTCCCCATCCTCTACTTTTTTCCGAAGTGAGATCTTTATGAATTGTTCACATGCATCAGGATTTCAATTGCATTTTTGAAAGTTGTTGGGGTCGTCGATGCATGTGTTGGAATTGTGATGAAACGAAAAGTTTTGAATCAGAGATCTGTAAATCTTTCATCTCTCCATTTAAAGCAAAACAAACTAACGGACAAGACTTGATGTCAAGGGTAAAATCGGAAGCTCGATAAGTCATATTTTTTGGGGCTAGTCTGATTGGGCTTACTTGATATTGAGTTTTGTACAAACCATTAAATAAAGTTAATACATGATTGAGGTCATATGAAATTATACGTTCCATAGAGTTATTTTTGTCAAACTTCTAGTTCATATCCAAGTGAGGCATGAGCATAAGCATTCTTAGAGGTGATAATCGAAATAAGCGTCGTGGACACCATTGTTCAAATGAGTGATTAAAGCATATATCTAGAACGAGATTTGTAATATTATGAATTGTCATGCGCGTCAATTACCCATTGTGGAAGCGAGAGATTGTTAGAGTATGTTCGAAAAGCAATTGACGTTGTAGGGACGGGATTGCAAATGTTTCAATCTTGAGATATGTATCCTACGGATCTTAAGTTTAAATTATGTTTCTAGCCATAAGGTGATCAAAAAGGCTATCAAACAGCCGCAGAGGCCAATTTATGTCATATTCAGTAGTATGTGTTGGTTTATTTTTAATTAAAATTGTCATTATTTGGTTGTTAGTGAGAAAGTAAGCTTATTTATCATTATTTGTGGTTAGTGGGAAATTAAGATGGGAGTCTTTTTTTATTGTCAAATGATAGATTTTGTTAGATTAGATGTTGGATTAGTCACCAACTAGGTTCGAACCCACACTATCATGCAAAAGCACAACTCCTTTCCACCACTGTGGTAAAGGGTCACTTGCAATATCGAGTCTTTAGTCTTTCATCTTTTGTAGCTCTTATAACCTTTTTTCCTAGTTACTTTGTGTTTATTACCCTATTCACTAAGGGTGACAATAAACATATACTTTTTAGCATTCTTTCCCAACATCTTTTTTATTTATGATCTCACTACCAATTTCATTTACCACTACAATCTTTATACCTCCATTTTTTCTATCCTTTACTTATTGGCCAAAGAAGGGTGTACAAGTGGTGGAGCTTTGAAATCATCCCTCGTTGTGCACATAGGTTTCAGTCAAACAATAATTTTGGAGCCAATTAAATAAGTAAGTAATTGAGTGGACAGATGTCGCGTTTTGAGAAAGGCCACTGAAGGGTGATCTTTTTTTGGTATCGGTGGATTGTTTCCACTGGTGTTTTCTTCTTGAATAAAAAAATAGAATAATTGTGATATTCATGTTTTAGTCGGCTTATGAAATCAAGAAATTCTATGCACAATTAGCAATAGATCTTGCAAAACCTGCCCTCCCTCGGAACAAAATTACCATAGCCAAACCACCAAACAATGAATATTCAATTGAAAAAAAAAAATCCAATGAATATTCCAAACATAGCAGGACAGTCGGAGGAAGGAAATATCGACCGAAAGGCATATAATCCAAGTCACATTGCCCCACCTGTGGACGCAACCTTTTCCTTCTCCTCGTTGATTGCTGTCCTTAACTCCGACGTCACGCGTCCATCTTCTTCCTCCCATCACAAAATAATAAAATTCAAAACCCAAAAAAATTATACATATGAGAGAACAAAGGACCTGAGATTCATACGCTTTGCAGCTCTCCTTCGTCACGGCAACAATCACACAATGTTCACATTGAAAAACAAAGTTACAGAGAAGCTCTCACATCTCTTTGCCGATGCGCCCACCTCACCCTCCTCCTCTTCTCTTCCTTCCCCTCTCGACGACAACAATCATCGTCCTGAGGTAATTTCCTGGTCCAAGTTTTTATCTTTTTCGTTTTTGTTTATCTGTTTCGTTGGATTGAATGATTGGGCTCTATGGGTTTTGCTTGCAATGTCGGTGTGGTCCTTGTTGTTCAAGAATTTTGAGATCTGGGTTTCTTAGATAACGTAATTTTGGAGTTGGGTTTTTTGTGTAATTTGGTTTTGCTTGGATTTTGTCTAGTTGAAGGACTTGTGATCTCATACGATTGTATGAGTGACCAGATGCTAATTATATTGAAACAATTCATATTTTACTACCAAAACATGCAGTTAATGTGATGGTAATCTTCCTGGAAACTTGGGAAACCGAGTTTTATGACCTTTTTTTATCTTTATTTTTACCCTGAAGTTATATAATTACGGTTTCTAAGTTCGAAAACTTGGGCTCCATTTGTAAATTTGTGCCCTTGCTGAGTTCGAAAAGTTTAGCTCCGTTACGGTTTTAGTTCAGTTGATTTATTTTCGTTTTGTATCATGATTTTTCACATTAGGTCGTTCAATGTGTAGGCCAGGCCATCTTCTAAAGGAGGTAAATCTTTGTCTTCATACTTTTCGTTACCATCGGTAGTCTTTGGTGGATCCCGATCAAACAAGCATCAATCAATAATTGTTAGTAATGGAGACTTTGAATCCCAAGATGAATCCGTGCATAGATATGTAGAGTGTCGTTCCCCACCAGGTGAGAACAATGAAAAGGAAAACAATCGTGAAAACGATGTTGACTGTGCTTCTGGAGGGAGCACCAGTGGTTCTGAGGTATTTGAAGAAGCAGCGGACCAGCACAGTCTACAGAAGCAACTACCGCTTCTTATGGATGACTCTGTCTTTATCTCCTCAGACCTGCATGAATTCTTGCTGTCATCTCTTCCTAATATAGTGAAAGGGTGCCAATGGGTTTTGCTGTATAGGTAAGCTTCTTGAGGAGTTTTCCCTGCATTAGAAGTACTCTGCTTTTGTTGCATTTGGATTTCAATTCAGTATCAATTCTTTTGAATGAAGGGCAGTACTTCGAGACATGGTGTATCACTCCGCACACTTATCCGCAAAAGCGCCGAGCTTTCTGGTCCTTGTTTGCTGGTATGTTAATGAATCTGCCAATGAGATTCGAAAATTGATAAATTGAATCTTTTGTAGTAATGTGAGGATAATGTGGACCGTCTGTACACTTTCTAGGTTGTTGGAGATAGGCAAGGTGCTGTATTTGGTGGACTTCTAGAGGGCCCCTTGAAACCTACGGCAAAGAGAAAGTATCAAGTAAACATGCTTTTACCTTAATAAACATATGTTAGTTTTTGCTTTTTAATTGATGAATACGAATATTCAGAAGTTCTTCCCTTGACTCTGGTTATTTATGTCTGAACGTTACGTTCTTTCTCTTTATCAGTCCAATAGAAGCACCTTCTTATGCCTGCCTTTTGGTTATAGGGAACAAACCAAACATTTGTTTTCACAACCGTATATGGAGAACCAAGGCTATTTAGACCGACTGGTAAGAATTTTCTCTTATTTATTTGCAGATGCAAGTTTCCTTTTGGAGGATCTGGCAGTCGAATAATTGCTGATACATAATTTGGGTATAGAGACAAGATAACTTGTGATGGGCATGCCAAGAACACTAAACACCTGGGTAGGTCGTAGAGCTTAAGATAGAGATGATAAATGATACCTCAGACCTTGCTGCGTTAACATGTCAATTTGTCCTTCATATGGATAGGCTCTTTGACATCTTCTCTCACAACATATAAAAATGGTACCTTTAAATTTGAATGGTAGCCGAACAATGTGTAACTAAACATTTAACCTTTTTGATGCATGAAAAGCCATAGATAGATCATGGACTATTCCAAATTTGTCTACCTTTTGTCCAATAAGAGAGAAAAAGCCAATGTTGATCCCTTTGTGTATATAGGAGCCAACCGGTATTATTACATGTGTTTGAATGACATGCTTGCTCTTGGGGGAGGTGGTAACTATGCTCTGTGCCTAGATGGAGATTTGTAAGTTACTCTTCCAATGCTATGCTTTGAATTCGCCCCCACTGTCCGATGGGGAAATACTTGCAGATTCTTTTGTCATGATTGTAAACTTTTGTTTGGAAAAGGTTAAGTGGAACAAGCGGACCTTGTGAAACATTTGGGAACTTATGCTTGGCTCATGATGCAGAATTTGAGTTGAAGAATGTTGAGGTAATCTATTTGGGCAACCTCTTCGTCTTTTATCTTGACTGTGAACTTGCGTATTTTCCTCACGCTTGACTGCATACTTACGTATATTCTGTTCGTATATGCAGCTCTGGGGTTTTACACATGCGTCGCGGTACCTTACATGATACAAGGCAAAGACAAGGTTATGCATTTGTATCTTTGGTATCGGTTGGTGGTCGCTTTCTTTATTCTTGTTATAGTTTGCTCCAGCACAGAAGACAGGAGAGCTTTGATCAATCGGGGATGAACAATTCGTTTGGAAAGCAATTAGATTCGAAGCACTAGTTTATGTTATGGGGTTATTTTCCTTCAATTATGTAGCTGTATTGTATGCATACTTACAGGGTGATTGTTATAGTAGTGAAATAGACCAACACCAGGAGCATTAATAGAATTGATCTTGTGACTATTTTACTTGTGGTAATGCGAAAGCAATGGTCCGCTTAGGTAACAACACCGTTAGAGCTGCCATCGAAAATAAGGGGGTTAAGGAACAAATAAGGTTCGGAAGTTGTCATAGGACTTCAGTCGTCGGTAATTAAAAGCACGAACACAAAATGCCTACATAACATAATCAAAAATCTCTTCAGCATTCCCCTATTTTCGATCTCGGTTCTTTTTTCCTTTTCTCCCCTATTTTCCGTGAACATGTTTTTAACCCGAAAAAAACATACAACACTACAGTTCAGTATTCCCAAAGGTACAAACTTGCTACAAATCCCAACTCAATGGTCAACAAGATGCATTCTAATAAATGTCGTATTATCACTGCTTCAGGACTCCATTGCACTATCGTCGCCAGGCAGGCCAAAAATGCGAAGGTTTCGGTCCATCGATCCTACCGCAATATAATTTGCATCTGGTCCAAACTTCACACTTGTTGTTTTACCTTAAACCCAAACAAGAAAATAATGAGCATCCCAAGTTAAGGCCACAAGGTCTAAAACCAAATTTACAGGCATGTGAAGAGATATAATCTAACCTGTGCCAGACATATCAGGGAAAGTCTTTACAGTGTTCCATTCACTTTTGACGCTACCAGTTTGGATGATTCTGCAAATGCACCAGGTCGGTAATCAGTGCTCAAAAGTTTATGGAATGCATTACAGGCGGAAATGAATATTTTGTCAAATGTTTTTGTAGGGCTGACAAATATTCAATGTCATTTCTCACACATTCATTCATAGCCATATGTGGATTACTTAGGGACAACTTCAGCAGTTGACTACTGTTATGGCGGATTTCAGTTTTGCTCAGACCACCACACCAAGGTCTAGTAAATCTAAGCAAATGATTTCATTTCATTATCGGGCCACCTTGAGTGTTCCATAATTGTCCTTGGAATATTACATTGTACGATATTATCCATACTACAACTATGGATATGCCATGATTGTCTTTAGACGATCACAACTTATATACAGCCTCCACAAATATGTTCAGCTTCTTGACATTATTAACATAAAATGAATATGCATACTCGTATAGCAGATTTGAAAAATGAAAATACAGTATTTTGCTAATATAATTTTTTTTTTCTTTTGGGTGTCCAATCAAACAAGGTTTAAAATATAAATACCGACCTTATATCAGATCCTGCAGCAGCAAGGTAATTTCCACTGTAGTCAAATTCAACTGCAAGGGATCACAAAAAGGGCTTTTCATTATACTCTATTCTACTTTGAAAAACTTCTGCGATATTAAAATTCATTGAAGTAGGAAACCTTTGCCAATTTATTATTACTAATAAGAGATAGAGATTACATAACAATGGAAAAGAGTACGCTGGAAAAATAAAATAAAAGGTAAACTGGATGGAAATATGACTTGAAAACATCTCTCATCTACCAAGAATTAGAAATACATATAAGATGTGAACCAAGAATCCGCCATCTAAACTAAGAACCCGCAAGTAGTTAAGTAATATTTTCAGTCATTTGCTGACTCTGCAAAGTACCGGTATGGTCAATGAAATGCTTGTCAGTTTTTTTTTTTTTTTTCCCTAGAAAGAAACAATGAAAATGCTTGGAGGTATACGTACCACAGTTTGTTGGTTCAGCACCGTATGGAGTAAATTTCTTGAAGTTCCTCAATTTGCGTAGATCCCACAACTTAATGCCATCACTAGCTGCGGTCTGTTAAATTCAAATGTAAAATAAGAACACGGTATTATCTAATTCTCCATCCACTTCATGTTTTTCTTAGTAGAAACCTACCGCAAGAAAGTAACCATTCTCAGAGAAGGAGATTGCAGTTATTGCGCCAACATGTCCCTCAAATGTTGCAACATTTGACTGTCAATTAGCACAAGTAATGAATGTAAGATCAGGAAAACTGAAAAGAAGAGGATGGAACAATAATAAACCCCACATACCTGACCCTTTACATCCCAAATTTTCACAAGCGCCTCTGAGGTGCCTGTTCCAAGAATGAGACCATCAGGATGAAATGCCACAGATGTATAGCCTTCCGAAGCAGAAGCGTCCTCAACCTTAAGAGCCAAAGAAACGTCCATTATACCAATATCATCATGTAACGTATTGGTAAATATAAGTTAAAATAGCTGTTTTAAACACCAGCAACTCTCTCCAAAAGAATTAAAAAAAATCATTTTTAAATGCCACAACCCACAACCCTCTTCCCTCCTTCCTCCAAAACCAAAGTTGGCAGTATCTTTTAAATGAAGAAGATTTTTAACACTTCATTTTCCATTATTGTAGATAACTCAAAATATATAGAAGCACACATGCACCTATACAGGTGCATCTATTTAAACAGTTTACAGGAGTTTCAAATTTATGCATTTGTAATGTACTGCCTCGTACAAGAAGATGACTTTAAAAATAATATTAGTTGATATTAGAGAGAGAGAGAGAGAGAGAGAGAGACCTGTGTTAGACACAACCCAGAGGCAATATCGTAAAAGCACCATGTACTATCAAGAGAAGCAGTCACAAAGTAGTCACCTGTGGCATGTACAGTGACAGCTTGCACCTGAAAATTATGATACACGCTACATAAATTCATATAGATAGCAGATAACTAGTAATAACAAAGAAAATAATGCATAATAAATCTCAGTTGTTAAGCAGTAACACCTGAACAAATTTCAAAATAAAGTGAAATCTCCAAATAGCAGTTTGTTTTATTATGAACATTGTTAACTAAAGTTGTTTACCATACATTCTATAACATCAACTACAGAGTCTCCAATCCTGTATACAAGGAAACACCACAGAATTGGACGCAAATAGTAGAATTTGTGATTGAAGTACAGTAAGTATAGTCACATTGCTAAAACAGATTAAGTCCAATAGATAAGTGTGTCTACAGGATAAATAAAAAGGACAATTCACTGTGGTCCGTTTTAGGATTTGCTCCCCATTACATATTTTGTCCACCGAAAAGGGCTTTAATATGGAATAAATTTTGGTGAACTTAGGTCCAAACCATTTACCTCAGCAGTATGGTCCTTCAAAATGTGCCTACAGTTATAGTTCCCATCATCAGTGCCTTGCCATATGCGAACTGTCTGCAACATTAAAGAGAAAAGATGAGATAACATCAAAAGATAGAGTACACTAGGTTGCATATCTGATAAGTTATACCCTTACAACCAATTCAATAACATCTAAATTGCATGCATGTAAAGTTCCCTAGTTGACTCCAATTTCTCCTATATTTTTTCCTGAACTCCTTCCCTTTCTGTTTGGGTCAGGGGAGGCTGATCACCACCCCAGTTACAACACGTAAAGCACAAGTAAATTTAGAATGTCAATTTAAATCTGTGTTGGTCCACATAGAAATACATAAGAAGTCCCAAGGATAAACTTGCAATTGTGAGGTAGGTAGAGTTGAGCAGTCACTAAGGTAAAAATTGCCACCGAATGACATGAGCTATTGATAAGTCCAGTAAATAGAAAAGATAAAATAGTAATAAAAAAAATAAATAGATCAAGAGAGGTATTAAAGATATCCATGACAAAGAAACAAGAAAACAAATTTATTGCGGCTTACCTTGTCTGCTGACCCACTTATGAACAGATCATCTTGACCTACAAATTTCACACTTGTAACCTACCAAAGAAAAACATACATAAACTTCCATATGCATTCATGGAAAGAAATCAAGTAATTGTTTGCTACAGAATTAATAGTTGAAACCTTCTTTGAATGACCACTAAGAGTAGATATGATTTGCCCTGATGTTTGATCAAAGATTACAGCATTTGTATCAACCCCTCCAGTTGCAATAAGGTTCTGCAAGAAGAAAGACAAATATATTTGATCAGCAAAATGGAAACATAACTGAGTTGTATGACATAAAGTATATAGAACAGACACAAGGATTTATGACTTTGACCTTGAGTCCATAATCCCATATACAGCATGAAGTGAAAATCAGAGTAAAGAGTAGATCAAGGTAGGAAATGTATGCAAAATATCTAGATTTGTTCCTTCTACATTCATTTCTTCATTTCAGCACATTTTGTTTAGGATCATCCCTAAACCTAAATATTTATGGAAAGATTAAAGCACCACAAATGCACTTCAAATTGTATGAAGGCGGTATTGAAGAGCAAAAGCATGTAGCAACCATTATGAACTTGAGTCTTTTACTCAAGTCTAATACCCATATCGAAGTGATGCTTAATCAAAACCATATAATAATAAAGGTAAACACAATCTCATACCTTGTTAGACTGAATGTCAATCGATAAAATTCCTGGTTTGCTTGTTCTATGAAGAGGATGACTAGATATCTGAGTATACCTCTCCAACGCATCAACTGGAGCCAAAGTTGGGGATATCTGAGCACAAAAACCATATAAAGATAAAACATAACTATCAGAACTTAACAAATAAACTTTGTGAGAACAGCTGAACTTCACGAGCAGCTTTTCTCAACAAAAGACCATATAAACTACAAATGGACAGTAAACTGTTAAAACTTTGGCATATAACATCAGACAAGTCAGAGAAATGCAACAGAGCATAAACAGTACCTGCCGCATCTTCCGCTGCTGTGAAAGAGTTACATTACATTCAGTCATCTTCTCTAGGATACTGGCAGATATTCCAGGTCGTATATTGCTCGCACCAGGTCCTTGCTGGTCATCAGCAACTAAAATAAAAAATAGAGCTCAAATTAGTTAACAGAAATTTATGAAAATATGTCATATTATCTGAGAAGCATATAGAGAAAGAACCTGGTGTTCCATTGCTATGGACAGCAATATTTGCCGTAACTGCTGATTGTGCGGGAATTTGTCTCTCAGCCTGGGCAAGTAATAACCTTGCTTCGTCCCTTTCTTTTTTGAGTCTTGCAATAACACGGCAAGCAGCATCATGCTGCCAAAATACAGATTACCAAATTAGGTCATTCAACCAAGTCATTCCATTTCAATA